CCAAACCCTTCCAGCATTTTCTGTTACTCATGGGAGTTCTGTGTGCCAAGTTTGGGTCAATCCCATCGTTGGTGGAGTTCAGAATGCGCTTTGATTGTAGGTGAACTATAAATCCAAGCAATTACAACCCCCAAATGTCAAGGTCTATATACCCAAACTCCACCAGTGTACACATTTGGGCATATTGAGTATTTTTGTCAAATTTAGTCCAGATCCATCATTGTTTGAGTCCACAGTGTTCTCTGGATGGAGGTGAACTACAACTTCCAAACTCAAGGTCAATGCCCATCAAACGCATCCAGTATTTTCTGTTGGTCATGGGAGTTCTGTGTGCCAAGATTGGGTCAATCCCATTGTTGGTGGAATGCTCTTTGATTGTAGATGAACTATGATGCTTTTTGATTGTAGATGAACTATAAATCCCAGCAACTACAACTCCCAACTGACAAAAAATAACCCCCTCCCAATCCACCAGTATTCAAATTTGGGCGTATTGGGTATTTGTGCCAAATTTGGTCCAGTGAATAAAAATACATCCTGCATATCAGATGTTTACATGATGATTCATAACGGTAGCAAAATGACAGTGATGAAGTAGCAATGAAAATAACGTTATGGTTGGGGGTCACCACATAATCAGGAACCGTATTAAGGGGTCACGGCATTGGGAAGGTTGAGAAACACTGTTATAGGGCTTTGTAAGTAATCACCTGCACTTTGAATTGGGCCCGGAAACTCGTTGGCAGCCAGAAGAGCTGCTTTAATGAAGGCATGGCATGGTCCCTATCACCAGCCCGTTGGTAATCTGGCTGCCAACCTTTCCACTAATTGAGTTTCGGTGCTGTCTTCAAAGCAAGCCCCACATAGAGTGGGGACATGCTGGATATGCCACATCCACATCATGGGATTTGTAACCCCCACTTTCTCCTCTTGCCAAAAGGCACCCATGCCACGCTCCTGTTTTGCCAAATTCCCAGGACAAAACATGGAGCTGGATGGATTTCTCGTGCCACGTCCGGCCCCGACATCCGGCACTGGGCGTCAAGGGGTGTCCCAGACCCAGAACCAAGCTCTCTCTCCTCCCCCCACAAGTGCTTCCATTCTTGCCCAGACACCGTCCCCGAATGCCTGGGATTTGTAGCCCCTGCTTTCTCCTCTTGCCAAAAGGCACCTATGCCACGCTCCTTCTGTTTTGCCAAATTCCCAGGACAAAACATGGAGCTGGATGGATTTCTCGTGCCACGTCCAGACCCGACATCCGGCACTGGGCTCCAAGGGGTGTCCCAGACCCAGAACCAAGCTCTCTCCTCCCCCCACAAGTGCCTCCATTCTTGCCCAGACACCGGCCCGAATGCCTGGGATTTGTAGCCCCTCGCTTTCTCCTCTTGCCAAAAGGCACCCATGCCACGCTCCTTCTGTTTTGCCAAATTCCCAGGACAAAACATGGAGCTGGATGGATTTCTCGTGCCACGTCCGGGCCCGACTTCCGGCACTGGGCGTCAAGGGGTGTCCCAGACCCAGAACCAAGCTCTCTCCTCCCCCCACAAGTGCCTCCATTCTTGCCCAGACACCGGCCCCGAATGCCTGGGATTTGTAGCCCCTGCTTTCTCCTCTTGCCAAAAGGCACCTATGCCACGCTCCTTCTGTTTTGCCAAATTCCCAGGACAAAACATGGAGCTGGATGGATTTCTCGTGCCACGTCCAGACCCGACATCCGGCACTGGGCTCCAAGGGGTGTCCCAGACCCAGAACCAAGCTCTCTCCTCCCCCCACAAGTGCCTCCATTCTTGCCCAGACACCGGCCCCGAATGCCTGGGATTTGTAGCCCCCGCTTTCTCCTCTTGCCAAAAGGCACCCATGCCACGCCAAATTGCCAAAAGGCACCCATGCCAAATTCCCAGGACAATACATGGAGCTGGATGGATTTCTCGTGCCACGTCCGGACCCGACATCCGGACGCGTCCCAGGCCCAGAACCAAGCTCTATCCTCCCCCCACAAGTGCCTCCATTCTTGCCCAGACACCAGCCCCGAATGCCAAGCCATACCCCGCTGTCTCTGCGGCTCTGCGTCACGTACTGGACCTGCCAGGGCAAGGGCTGGTGAACCAGGTAGGGCAGCGGCTCCTCGCGGATGAGGCTATTGCCAAGCTGGAGAGAAAGTCAGAAAGCGTGGGTCAGAAAGACAGGGATGCCCACTGTCCCCCAACACAAGGCTCAGGCCAAAGGCAGACCCTCCATGAAAGCAGCAAGGTGCAAGGAGGGCCGTGCCCCCCGAGAGAGGGGGAAATGGTCCCCGGGTCCCCTTTCAACTGTAGGTGGAAAGCAAGACAGAGACCAACCTGTCGGAAGGCTTTCACCATGAAGAAGAGTGCCGTCATGAGCGTTGCCAACATGGTCACAGACTGGGAGCTCCCACGAGAGGAAGAGAGGTGTCTGCCGGTGCTAGGCTTCTGCTGCGACTGGCAAATGGCGGACAAACGGCCTAATGAGCTTAGGCCAGAGAAGGCCGGCGCTGCGGCTGCCAAACCACTAAGCCCCAGCTCTAGCCTCCAAGGCACATCCCCATCCTTATCTCTCTGCCTAGTCTAGTACTAATGCACTGGCAAGTTCTTGGTGGTACGTATGGGGATCCCAAGCCACCTTGTCTTTCTCCTGAGGAATCCGTATCAGGACCAAGTTGCAACAGTAAGAACTGACCACGGAACAACAGAGTGGTTCAAGATTGGGAAAGGCGTACGGCAAGGCTGCACCCTCTCACCCAACCTTTTTAACTTGTATGCAGCGAGGATGTGCGGGGCTGGATGAATGCAAGGCTGGGGTGAAAATGGCTGGAAGAAACATCAACAACCTCAGATATGCAGATGACACCACTCTGATGGCCGAAAGCGAGGAGGAGCTGAGGAGCCTTCTAATCAAGGTGAAAGAAGAAAGCGCAAAAGCTGGGTTGCAGCTAAACATAAAAAAAACCAAGATTATGGCAACGAGACTGGTTGATAACTGGCAAATAGAGGGAGAAAACGTGGAGGCAGGGACAAGGTTTGTATTTCTAGGTGCAAAGATCAATGCAGACGCAGTGCAACCCTATCCTAGTTTGCCCCACCTTGTTTATGCCCAACATTTTAAATTTTAATTTTAATTATTACATTTGGCCCTGCCATAGGTTTTTAAATGCTGTATGTTATTGTTATTGTTTATTGCTTGTTGTGTATTTTTGTTTTTGATTTTAACTGTTTTGTATTATTAGTTATCGCTTTTGTTTATTGATGTGCTGTGGGCTTGGCCTCATGTAAGCTGCACCAAGTCCCTTGGGGAGATGGTAGCAGGGTACAAATAAAGTTTTATTATTATTATTATATTATTATTAAATCAGAAGATGTTTCCTTCTTGGGAGGAGAGCAAGGGCCAATCTCGATAAAAGAGTGAAGAGTAGAGACATCACACTGGCAACAAAGATCCACATAGTCAAAGCAATGGTATTATTATTATTATTATTATTATGACCCAAAATGCAGACTGTGCAAGGAAGTTGATGAAACCATGGACCATATCCTCAGTTGTTGCAAGAAAATAGCACAGACGGACTACAAACAGAGGCACAACTCTGTGGCTCAAATGATTCACTGGAACTTATGTCACAAGGACCACCTGCCAGCAGCAAAGAATTGGTGGGATCATAAAACCGCAAATGTTGTGGAAAATGAACATGCAAAAATACTGTGGGACTTTCAAATCCAGACTGACAAAGTTTTGGAATACAACACGCCAGACATCATGATTGTGGAAAAGAAAAAAGTTTGGATTATTGATGTCACCATACCGGGTGACAGTCGCATTGAGGACAAACAACAGGAAAAACTCTGCCGTTATCAGGACCTCAAAATTGAACTGCAAAGGCTCTGACGGTATAAACCAGTCCAGGTGGGCCCAGTGGTCATTGGCACACTGGGTGCCGTGCCAAAAGATCTCAGCCAGCATTGGGAAAAAATAAACATTGACAAAATCACGATCTGTCAACTGCAAAAGGCCACCTGACTTGGATCTGTGCGCATCATTCAAAAATACATCACATAGTCCTAGATGCTTGGGGAGTGTTCGACTTGAGATTTTGTGATACGAAATCCAGCTTATAGATCTCGTTTGCTGTGACATAATGCACTTTTGTGTCAATAATAATAATAATAATAATAATTATTATTATTATAATTCCCTGTGGTAACCTATGGATGTGAGAGCTGGACCATAAAGAAGGCTGAGTGAGAGCTGGACCATAAAGAAGGAAGAGAGACGCTTTTGAGCTGTGGTGCTGGAGAAAATGCTGAGAGTGCCTTGGACTGTGAGAAGATCTAACCAGTCTATCCTCCAGGAAATAAAGCCCGGCTGCTCACCGGAGGGAAGGAGAGTAGAGGCCAAGATGAAGTCCCTTTGGCCACATCATGAGGAGACAGGAAAGCTTGGAGAATGGAATGATGCTGGGGGAAATGGAAGGAAAAAGGAAGAGGGGCCAACCAAGGATACAAGGTGGGTGGATGGTATCCTTGAAGGGACTGGCTTGATTCTGAAGGAGCTGCGAGTGGTGACGGCTGACAGGGAGCTCTGGCCTGGGCTGGTCCAGGAGGTCACAGAGAGTCGCAAGCAACTGAACGAATAAACAACAACTAGCTTCCAAGGCACATCCTCATCTCTCTGCCTAGTCTAGTACTGAGACATCCAGAGTTGAACCAGCTAGAAAAAGGCAAGAGTGGAGAGTTGCCAAAGTCAATCTACACATGGACACATCGAAGACGGACGGTGGTATCAGAAAGAAAGCAACAATCTCACAAACGAGGAACTGGGGAGGAACTGGTGAGAGGAGGAAGCCACCTTCAGAAGATGCTCAACTCATGGGCAACAGCACAGGAACATCTCCTGAGGCCTTGCGCGATTGACAGAGACGAGAAGGGTGCATTCTTCCTTCTCACAAACCTCAAGCAGGAGGACAAGGACCAACAGGGCCAGAGAGGTACAAAAAGTAGCTTTATTTGATATGCAAAACGCAGCCAAAGGCACACTCCGTCCCACCTCAGTCATTTCCCATCCCTCCTGCTGCTTTTCCACGAGATCAGACAGATAGAGAGGGCAACGCTGTTTGGAGACAATGTTGATGATGATGATGGACAGCCGGTGCAGAGAGTGCCCCAAACGCCACTGCCCTTCCAGGGACTCAGAAGCCAGGGTCTGCCCCCCTGAGACTGGGTCGCCCTCAAAGAGGTTGAAGAGGGAAGGCAGGCTGTCTGGCGGAAGACCCTCGTTGTCCTGCCAGCAGAATGGAGGGCCCTTCCTGCATCTTGGGGCCACTTGTGCCACCGTAAGCACCACAGGGCACCCTTGGGCAGGCAAACCGACACCCCCTGCCAGCCCAACCAGCTCTATGTAGTGCAAGGTGAAGGGACCTGAGCTCAAAAGAGAACTTTGGAGACTGGGACAAGACTGGAGATTTGACTAAAGAGTGGCCCCACAGGCTCTGGGCCCCATGCTCTCTGCTTCCCGTAAGCACCACAGGGCACCCTTGGGCAGGCAAACCAATACCCCCTGCCAGCCCAAACCACTCTTTGTAGTGCAAGGTGAAGGGACCTGAGCTCAAAAGAGAACTTTGGAGACTGGGACAAGACTGGGGATTTGACTAAAGAGTGGCCCCACAGGCTCTGGGCCCCATGCTCTCTGCTTCCCAGTCCCTGCATTTGCCACTGGGCATCGTAGCTGAGCAAAGCCAAGTCCAAAAGCTCCTCCTGCCCCAAACAAAGCCTGTTTTCAGCAAACAGGAAATGTGAATGACACAATCAAGGCTCTCAGCCCTAAGGCCAGCACTTGAACCCGCTACCACCATCCATGCGCATGGACATGCGTCTTGGGCACCCCAGAAAGGCTGCCTTTGAAGGCACTGGGAAATGAGCGCAGGGGCTGCTTGCACTGTTGCCCCGACTGCTCCCCAAACCAGGACCCGGAAGAGGGCTCTGGGGCCCGAGGAAGCATTCACGGAGGCCGCCTCAGAGGAAGGAATGCCATGTATTGCCAGCCAAGTGGGGAGCAAGCGGGCGCTGCTGCTTGGGAGGAGGAGCGGCCCCCTCTGCTAGAAATGGTAGGCTTTGATCTGGTTGTTCTCGTCCAGGCCGAGCTGCACCACGCCAGGATGGGCCCCAAGGGGGGACTTGGGCCCGCTCGGCAGGAGGGGCCTGCAGGACAGGTGAAGGAAAAGCCAGGTCACAACTCTTGGAACTCAACCCCACGCTGCCCAAGTCTCAAGTCCTCAATGAGGAGCAGGTAGTTAGTTTAGTACAGACTAAGAGTTTCCCTTCCCCCATGTCTCCTGATTGACAGTTGGGAATGCATCTTTTTCTATCTGTTTCTGCTCTCATTCTGATGGGTTGTTTAAAATGGGTACTTTTCTATTGCAAGCCTTTTTGAATCTGACTTCTGCCTTCTTAAACTTCAGTAAAGAGAATATGGATAGTTGCCTGGAACTGGCCGACCACAAGGTCACAATTACCCCATAGGCTTCTGGAAACAACAACTGACCATAGAGTCGAAGGTTGCTACATGTTTACTGGTAACTGACCACAGGGTCAACCACAAGGGTACAAGGAGCGTGTTATGTTACTGGAATGTGGTTGCTAAATGCATTGTCAAGGATATATAAGCCCAACGTTCATCCCAGTAGAGGCGGGAAGTTTGGTTCCGGCATACTGTGTGTTATGCCGCCTGTCCGCCTTCCTACTGTGCAATATGAATAAACTGCGTTTTGCCCTAACTTGTTTGGACTCCGTTTCGTGATCCAAAACGGCCCAGCAAGGACCCGAATGGTAAGATTGTGGGAATACCGGCGAGTTTCCCTTACAGTGGGACCCAGGTTCTAAGGGCAAGCGCCACAAGGCTTGGGCCAAAGGATACGCCCGGGAGTCCTGCTTGACGCTCTCCAGCCACTTCCTGTTGGCATCGATCATGCCCTGGATGTTCTGCTTCTCGGCCTCAGAGCCACGGAAAGGGGGCTGCGGGAACAGGCGCAGGGGGTCGCTGCAGGGAAGCAAAAATGGGGAGGGGGATGTTGTCAATGGGAGACACAACCCTAAGGAGGAGCTCCCACAATCCCCAGAAGGAAGAGTGAGTGCAACTGCGAGAGGAGGTGAGGCCCCTTCTGCCCACCCTACAACCTGTGGCCAGTATTCATGGGGGGGGGGGGGATAGACTGCCCCCAGGGGACCCTCTCTGGGATGCTTTGGAGACGAGCAAGGGAGCGAGAGGAAGGCGCAGGAAGAAGCCTTACTCGGGCGTCACCAAAGACAGCTTGCCACTCAGGGTGCCGGGACCCCCACGGGGCAAGGGGAAGACACCTGGAAAGAGAAGAAAGGGTGCGTTTGGAAGCTCAACTGGTGTCACTATCGTATCCGTACATCCTGCTGTGAATCCAGGTGCCCATTTTCAGATATTTCTGGAGGCATCCTATATTTTCCCCTGGGGCCTTACTCAGAGCCAGAGCTCCCATCAATTTATTCACCTTGGAAGTTGACACAGGGGACCAATAAGGCAAACTGGTGGAATTGGGAACACTAGTTAAAGGTAAAGGTTTTCCCCTGACATTAAGTCCAGTCGTGTCCAACTCTGGACATTTCTATGCCGAAGAGCCATCGTTGTCTGTAGACACCTCCACTGGCATGACTGCATGGAGCACCATTACCTTCCAGTCGAAGCGGTACCTATAGATCTACTCACATTTGCATGTTTCCTAACTGCTAGGTTGGCAGAAGCTGGGGCTGACAGCAGAAACTCGTGCTGCTCCATGGACCTTTCAGTCAACAAGCTCAGCAGCTCGGCGGTTTAACCCACTACACCAATGTTTTTATTTGTTTTATTCGTTTGCCTTCTATGTGAAAGACCTATGGTCTAAGCATCGAATAACCACCAACTCAGATGCCAGTTTCTTCTGGAAATACAACCAACTCAGGGACCGGATTGTGGCGCAGCTGGTTGGGAGTAGCTGCATTAAAATCACTAGTGACCGAAAGGTCATGAGTTTGAAGCCAGCCTGGGCCGGAGTAAGCTCCCAACCATTTGTCTAGCTTGTTGTCGACCTTTGCAGCCCGAAAGACAGTTGCATCTGTCAAGTAGGAAATTTAGGTACTGCTTATGCGGGGAGGCTAATTTAACTAATTTACAATGCCATAGAAATCTCCAGCAGCGTGCAAAAGATTGAGGAAGTACTCCATTGGTGGCACAAGTGAATCAACAGCTCCCCCGGTGGTTGGAATTTGAAGCATCCTCTCATGAAGCTGGAAAGTTAAATAGCCTCTGTGTGTCTGTCTATATCTGTTGTGTGTCTATGGCATTGGATGTTTGCCACGTATATGTGCATTGTGATCCACACTGAGTCCCCTGCGGGGTGAGAAGGGCGGAATATAAATACTGTAAATAAATAAATAAATAAATAAATAAATAAATTTCCCTTTTATTGTGGAAGAAAAGTTTTCTCCCAGCAGTGCTGCTCCTCCTACGAAATATATCGCAGGCTCAAAGAGAAGGCACAGCCCAAACAAGAAAGCAGTTGCCTCCGGGAATGGAGAAGGACCCCAAGGAAAACGTCCTTCTCTGGTTCAAAAGGCCGTTCAAGAGGCAGGCTAAAAGAGCCCTGGATCCCAACCCCTTTGGCGCTCTTGTTCCTCCAGAGAAAAGGGAGGAATGCCAGGCTTCTTACTAGCAATGCAATCGGACACCGATGCCCACTGACCAGGACTGCATCCTGCTGGCTGACCCAACCCTGGGAGGCCCAGATTTCACTGATGGAGCGGGCCTTTCTCCGGTTGCAACAACCAACAAAATCAAGGCCTTGGTCCGTGCTGGGCTCTGCTTTCCTGGACAAGCAGCCCAGGACAGATGCACCCACTGTGTTGTTGTAGGTTTTTCAGGCTGTCTGGCCATGTTCTAGAAGCATTCTCTCCTGACGTTTCACCTGCATCTGTGGCAGGCATCCTCAGAGGTTGTGAGGTCTGATAGAAACCGCTGAGGATGCTTGCCAGAGATGCAGGCGAAATGTCAGGTACAAAAGAAGGCAGTCCAATAAAAGCTAGTCAGGAGCGAAGGTTCAAGAGCTGCTGGTAAAGCGGCGGATAAAGAGAACTGGTGGCTAGCTCCGCCCATGGGCTATATATACTCGAGGGGGTGGGCGGGGCTAGCCGGGGACTAAAATGTTTATTTTATCTTCTAGATCAGTGGTCCTCAACCTTCCTAATGACGTGACCCCTTAATACAGTCCCCCATGTTGTGGTGACCCCCAACCATAATATTGTTTTTATTGCTACTTCATAACAGTCATTTTCCTACTGTTATAAATCACAATGTAAATATCTGATATGCAGGATGCATTTTAATTCACTGAACCAAACCTCGCACAAATACCCAATACACCCAAATGTGAATGCTAGTGGGGTTGGGCGAGGATTGATTTTGTAATTTGGGAGTTGTAGTTGCTAGGATTTATAGTTCACTTATAATCAAAGAGCATTCTGAACTCCACCAGCGATGGATTTGAACCAAACTTGGCTCCCATGACCAATGGAAAACACTGGAAGGGTCTGATGGGCATTGACCTTGAGTTTGGGAGTTGTAGTTCACCTATATCCAGAGAGCACTGTGGACTCATGCAATGGTGGATCTGGACCAAACTTGGCACGAATACTCAATATGCCCAAATGTGAACACTGGTGGAGTCTGGGGAAAATAGATCTTGACATTTGGGAGTTGTAGTTGCTGGGATGTATAGTTCATTACAATCAAAGAACATTCTGAACTCCACCAATGATAGAATTGGCTCAAACTTCCCACATGGAATCCCCATGACCATCAGAAAATCCTGTGTTTTCTTATGGTCTTTGGTGACCCCTCTGACACCCCCTCGCGACCCCCTCAGGGGTCCCGACCCCCAGGTTGAGAAACACTGTTCTAGAAGGTTCTGAAAGCTGTACTGCGCAGGTGCAGAGATACCATATGTGTGTATTCACAGTTGACTACGACAGGAAAGGCTTCTAGAGTATGGCCAGTCAGCCCGAGAAACCTACAACAACCCAGTGATTCCGGACATGAAAGCTGTCGACAATACATTGCTCCTACTGTGCTCCTCACCTGGGAAATACTTGCGCCACTTCTCCGTCAACATGTTGTCCACCGACTGGCCGGCCGGAGCAAAGGAGGGAGCAGCAGGGGCTGAGGAGATGCCCCAGGCCCAGTGGGGCCCGGCAGAAGTGCGGGGCAGGGAGGGGTAAGCGGCCAAGGGAGCACCCTCCTTGGGCAGTGGGGAGGCCGGGCCCCTGCCGGGCGCGATGGGCAAGGGCTGCTGGGCGCTGAAGGTGCTCAGGAGGCCCAGCACCCTGTTCAGCTCGCTGGTGATGCGCTGCAAGGAGTCGGTCAGGCACTGGATCTTGTCCAAGGGGGGCAAGCGAAGCTCCGGTTTCAGGCCAAGCGCTGTGGGAAGAAGAGGAAGAGACGGAAAGAGGTCTGTTGAGACCCAGGATGCATATACTGCAAATGCCCTTGTCCTGGGAAAACCCAGAACTCAGCAAGCTGGGCCACAAATGGCAGCCTCAGAAGAGACACGGATAAAGAAAGGAAAGTCCAGAAATATTCAAAATTAACTGGGTATTTTGATTACTAAAGTATGAGTCAAGCACTGAAAGGGTGAGTAGGCCTGTTAGAGTCAGTGGGTCACAGGTAGTGTCGTCCTGAGGTGTGTGAGGCAAACCTCGGTGTGAGAAGCTTTGGTGAAAGAAGTGTCAGTTTAAAGCCTTTGTGTGTAAAGCTACTATGTGAAGCTCCTGTGCAATTTCGGTGTGAGAGGCGGCTCTGTGAAAGCAAAGGCATTAGTCTGAGAGAGCCCTCAGTGTGAGAAGGCCTCAATCGGAGAAAGGCCTCAGTGTTAGTAGCCTTCAGCATGAGGAAGCCTGGTGTGAGAAGCTTCAGGTTAAAGCCCTTGTGTGTAAAGCTACTATGTGAAGCTCCTTTCGGTGTGAGAGGAGGGTCTGTGAAAGCAAAGGCATCAGTCTGAGAGAACCTTCAGTGTGAGAAGGCCACAGTGGGAGAAAGGCCTCTGTGTGAGGAGGCCTGGTGTGAGAAGTTTTGGTGAGAGAAGCCTCAGGTTAAAGCCCTTGTGTGTAATGCTACTATGTGAAGCTCCTTTCGGTGTGAGAGGAGGCGCTGTGAAAGCAAAGGCATCAGTCTGAGAGCTTTCCGTGTGAGAAGGCCTCAGTGTGAGGTAGGCTTCAGTATGAGGAGGCCTGGTGTGAGAAGCTTTGGTGAGAGAAGCCTCAGGTTAAAGCCCTTGTGTGTAAAGCTACTACGTGTAATTTCGGTGTGAGAGGAGGCTCTGTGAAAGCAATGGCATCAGTCTGAGAGAGCCTTCAGTGTGAGAAGGCCACAGTGGGAGAAAGGCCTCAGTATGAGGAGGTCTGGTGTGAGAAGCTTTGGTGAGAGAAGCCTCAGGTTAAAGCCCTTGTGTGTAAAGCTACTATGGGAAGCTCCTGTGTAATTTCGGTGTGCGAGGAGGCTCTGCGAGAGCGAAGGCATCAGTCTGAGAGCCTTCAGTATGAGAAGGCCTCAGTGGGAGAAAGGCCTCAGTGTTAGTAGGCTTCAGCATGAGGAGGCCTGGTGTGAGAAGCTTTGGTGAGAGAAGCCTCGGGTTGAAGTCCATTGTGTGTGAAAGCTGCTGTGTGTCAAAAGCTACTGTGTGAAAGTTAGGGAAAGTTGCAGCAGCACAATGAAAGATGGCAGTGTGACCAGCAGTGCCTTCCAGCCACAGATCCCCTTGAGGGCCAGGGAGGAAAAGCAGAGCTGCAGCAGAACACATCCAAAGGGATACTTCATACTACGGAGGGCCACAGGCTAGGCACCCCGAGGTAGGAAGGAGCCCATAAGTCTCTCTGGGCAACCTGGAAGGAGGGCTACCCCTGGCCCCCAACCCATCCCTTACTTTTGTGGGAAGAGCCATTGGCGCTCAGCAGGCTGCTTGTGTCTTCGGAATCACTGAGGTCGAAGGTCACCACCTTCTTGCACGCCCCTCCTTTGAGCGTATCTTCATCGGAGAACTGGGAAGGGAAGGAAGAGGCCAGTTTTGCATTTCCTGCCTCTGCACCCCAGGAATGGATGCAGCCATGCCCTCCCAGAGGAAACAGGGGCCGCTGGAACTAGGAGCCACTTCTGGCTTGTGTGGTCCCTCCGGAAGGCACAAAAGGAGCTGCCAAGGAGAAGGGCTGGGCACTTGGGTTTCCACAGCTCCACGAGCCCCACTCCATCTCTGCCTCATTGGGAGAACCAGTCCCAAGGGGGTGCCATCTGGGAGCTGGTGTTGGCACCTATCTGCCAGGCCCTTCCCTGGTGCACAGCCTTTGGCCCCAGAAGCCAACGGGAGGGCATGGTCACCTCTTCCATCAGGGAGGACTCCAGCTGGGCCAGCCGCTCCTCCTTCTTCCTCAACAGAGCCTGGCCCTTCCGCACCGCAGACCTCACCTCCTCCAACTGCCTGGCTTCCTGTTGGAGGGGAAAGCAGCCTATGACTCTCTCTGTGGAATATATCTGTGGAATGACCAGGGTGGGGCAAAGGACTTTGTCTGCTGGAGCTAGGTGTGAATGTTTCAACTGACCACCTTGATTAGCATATAATGGCCTGACAGTGCCTGGAGCTAGGTGTGAATGTAAACAATCAGGCACATCAAATCACCTCTCAACAAAAGATTCCCCCAGGCACTTCCAGGCTATTAAATGCTAATCAAGGTGGTCAGTTGAAACATTCACACCTAGCTCCAGCAGACAAGAGTTCTTTGTCCCACCCTGGTCATTCCACAGATGACTCTCTCTGTGGAATATATCTGTGGAATGACCAGGGTGGGGCAAAGGACTTTTGTCTGCTGGAGCTAGGTGTGAATGTTTCAACTGACCACCTTGATTAGCATTAGTGGCATGATCAGTTTCTCGATTGGAGCAAGAACCCACAATGAGGGCTACAAACTGTTAGGGAAAACTACCCTAATTCTTCATCGTGGTCAGTGTGAATTGCACATATGGCTTCTCTTCTGATGCCGGAGCTCTCGGCACCATCCTTGCCTGCCCACTGAGCGGCCAAGGTGCAGGAAGGGCCTGTGGAGGCCTCCTTAATACCACTTCCCCCACCATCAGGGCCCTTCCTGGCTTCGGCCTCGGTATCGCTGAGCCTGACGACCCAATGGCATGCGCCGAGTGCATCCACCACATCAATGTCGCTACGGATCGACATTGAGAAGTCGATCATCAGGCAAGGATGGCGCTGAGAGCTCCGGCATCGGAAGAGAAGCCATATGTGTGAATTCACAGGTGACCACTCAGAGAAATACGGTTACAGGTAAGCAACCCAGACATATAGCAGAGCATCCAAAAACGAACAGGATACAAAAGTTAAGCAACAGCTCTCAGCTAGCACAGTGTGAAGTGCCATGGGATGTGGCTGTAAAGAATTCAGAGCTTAGGAGGCAAACATGCAGAGAGTCCAATCATAAAAATCACAAAAAGGTTTCTTTACAATAATAAGAAATAACGGCATTTCTTAATAATCAAGAGCTGGGCCTGAGCTCCTCTCACACCCATGTGTTCTAAGGTTTCAAGAGAGGGGAAAATTCAATCACGACACCTCTCCTGACACACAAGCAGAGAGAGATCTCAAAGCACACAGCACATACTCTTCATACCAAAAAAAGTAAGAAGGCAGAAGTCAATGTATTGTCGAAGGCTTTCATGGCCGGAATCACTGGGTTGTTGTAGTTTTTTTCAGGCTATACGGCCATGCTCTAGAACAGGGGTCCTCAAACTAAGGCCCGGGGGCCGGATGCGGCCCTCCAAGGTCATTTACCCGGCCCTCGCTCAGGGTCAACCTAAGTCTGAAATTACTTGAAAGCACACAACAACAATGACAACAATCCTATCTCATCAGCCAAAAGCAGGCCCACACTTCCCATTGAGATACTAATAAGTTTATATTTGTTAAAATTGTTCTTCATTTTAATTATTGTATTGTTTTAAGTGATTTTTGCACTACAAATAAGATATGTGCAGTGTGCATAGGAATTCATTCATGGTTTTTTTTTTTCAAATTATAATCCGGCCCTCCAACAGTTTGAAGAACTGTGACCCCTGCTCTAGAACATGGCCATATAGCCCGAAAAAACCTACAACAACCCAGGCAGAAGTCAGATTCAAAAAGGAAAGTATCCAGTTTAAGCAACCAATCAGAATGGGAGCAGGAAGCGAAGGAAGGGAGAAGAAAAATATACCTTCCCAACTGCCATTCAGGAGACATGGAAGAAGGGAAACCCTCAGGCTATTCTATTTTTTAAAATATTTTCTGGTTTTATTATGTTTTTGTGTAATATTGTTTTTATTGTACTGATGGGCATGGCCTAATGGAGTGGGGTATAAATAAAGTTTTATTTCTTACTAGCCGTCCCCTGCCACATGTTGCTGTGGCCCACATGGGAGTTCTGTGTGGGAGGTTTGGCCCAATTCTATTGTTGGTGGGGTTCAGAATGCTCTGTGATTGTAGGTGAACTATAAATCCCAGCAACTACAACTCCCAAATGTCAAGATTCTATTTTCCCCAAACTCCACCAGTTTTCATATTTGGGCATATTGAATATTGGTGTAGAGTTTGGTACGGATCCATCATTGTTTGTGTGCACAGTGATCTCTGGATGTAGGTGAACTACAACTCTCAAACCAAAGGACTGAAACCCTTCCAGTATTTTCTGTTGGTCATGGGAGAACTGTGTGCCAAGTTTGGTTCAATTCCATCGTTGGTGGGGTTCAGAATGTTCTTTGATTGTAGGTGAACTATAAATCCCAGCAACTACAACTCCCAAATGACAAAATCATTTTTTTTTTTGAGTGAAGGACATACATTGGGTTGTTAGGTGTCTTGTGTTCAAATTTGGTGCCAATTCATCCAGGAGTTTTTGAGTTCTGTGAATACCACAAACGAACATTACATTTTTATTTATATAGATTATATTATTAATGCTAATTAAGTTCTCCTAAGTCTTGGGCAGTGTGGGGCTGAATCCCACCACAAGCTCCAAGCTGGATGCCATTCTGTAGCGCTGCCATTGTAATGTTACTGTGTTTACTGTGTTTTTATTTTGTCCGAATGGCCTTTGTGCGCTGTGCTGTAGGGAGGCAATAGTGAGACAATAATATGAAAACAAAGCACGGGGTTTGCTCTTGCTGAGCCAGAGTTCAACCTGGTTGGCGACTTGAGCCCCTCTCCCGCCTTCCAGGGACTGTGTTTGGTGTCCTTTCCAGGGCATCCCCGTGTCCCAGAGCCGCACACCCCTCCCCTTCCTTTGCTCACCTCTTCCAGGCTCCTGCGCACTCCCTCCAGCACCTGAGAGCGGCCCGGATCCTGCAGGTCGTGGCTCCAGTGTTGCTTGGCCGCCCTCAGGACCGTCTGCCTTTTCCGCATAGAGTGTGTCTGGCGCACCAAGAACTCTTTGGTGGTCTTCAAGGAGGACCCTTCTGCAGAAATGTAGTGCCGGACCCTTCAAGAGGAAGAGTTCTGGGTGAAGAAGACGAACCATGCCATCCTTTCGGAAAGTAAGAGAAAGCCGCGGGTCCACAGCCCACTGGCCGCACTCCCCTTGCGTCCATCTGAGCCAGGGCCCACACAACGCACCAAGGGAGCCCAAAGTCTTGCGCCACTTACTGATCCAGGAGGCCGTTGCTCTCCTCATTGTCCTTTGGAGCTTTGCATTCCATCTCTCTGGGGGAAGCCTTGAGGGTTCAATCACGGTTAAAGTCTGTTAGTTATACGCAGCTGAGGCCTGAATCCCATGAAAGCAGAGCCTGCTCCTTCCTGCCCCAAGTGCTCTCCTCTCAAGCCAAGCCTGAGGGGCCGAGGAAGCCACTGAGGGATCTCCTCCCCCAGGTGAAAAGGAGGAGCCCGCCTTTTACTCAAAAGGTTCCTGTAGCACCTCCCCTTTTGTGGGAGGCTTTCTAAAAGCTTCCTTCATGCTGATGGTACTAAAAACACAACTGCACATGAAACATGGCATGTACCCCTCTTTCTTGTCAGAAATACTAAAAATTAACTAGGTATTTTTAATTACAAATACGTGAGTCAAGCACTGAAAGGGTTAAATGGATGCAATGACTCAGCAAACGCTACAGTTCAATATGAGCAGGTGTGCCTGTAGCTTAGTAGCCCCTCAATCTGTGAGAGGTCTCTGTGGGAGAAGGGCCTCAGTATGAGTAGACCTCAGTGTTAGTTTGCCTCAGTGAGAGAAAGGTGCCAGTCTGAGAGAGCCCTCAGTGTGAGAAGACCTCAGTGTGAGAAAGGCCTCAGTGTGAAGTGGGACTCAGTGTTAGCAGGCTTCAGTATGAAAAGGCCTGGTGTGAGAAGCTTCAGTGAGAGAAGCCCCAGGTTGAAGTCCATTGTATTTGAAGGCTTCTGTGTGTAAAAAACTGTGTGAAGCTTCTGTGTAACTCCAGTGTGAGAAGAGGCTCTGTGAGAGCAAAGCTATTTATCTGCATGAGAAAGAAGCCCAGCGTGGAAGGAAAGAAGGAAGTGTTTTGCAGATATTGCCTAGCCAGGGCGAATCCTCTTTTGTGCAGCCTGGCTACGTCTTCATCCTTCAGTGGAATCCCAGGCTGAGCCCAGGAGCCGAGCAGCCACCCGTAAGACCACAAGCAGGAATTGAAACCCCTCCCCCACCCCACCAAAACAGATTTTGACTGACCACTGAGCTGCTGTCTTGCAGGTCCTCCAGCCTGAGCTCCTCCTCTTCCTCCTCCTTTGGGGAGGGTTTGGGGCTGCCCCCTTCACCTGGACTCAGCAGTCCCTGCTTGCCCTTGGCGGCCTCCTCAAGTTCACTGCCAGTGACAAAAACAAGGAAAGAGGGAAGGAAAAACAAGACCATCTCTGAGAATCTGGGGGTTTCTCTCAGTCCAGGAGGGGAGTGTTTGGGGGGGGGGCATAAGGAAACCCAACACAAATGCGCTCTCCTTGAAACTCTCCTCCCGCCTGCACAGCACATGCACCTGGCCTCCTTCCGCAGCTGCTCCACCTGGGAGCCCAGCGCTGCTTTCTGCTCCTGGATCTCTGCCACTTCTTGCAGCAGCTGCCGCACAGTCTCCGCAAGGCTCTCCTGCTCCTTCCGAGACTCCTCAAGAACCAAAGCCGCTTCCTGGGGAGGCAAATCAAGTGAGGCACTATTCTGTTGTTGACACACAAGAAGGAAGTGATGACATGCTTGAAGAGTCAGGAAAGAGCCTCCAAACTCACACCTCTGCCATGGAGGCGCCCTTTCACTGCCTCTTAGTCTCAACATGGAGAGGGAGATGGCAGGGGTTGAAGGGGCAGCCATGACTGCCCACAGCCATTGCTGCCTTCCCCTGGCCGGCAGGGCACTTCCTCCACTCCAGAGCTGCAGGGGGTGTGAGACCCAAGGCCTAGCTTTGCAGGGACAGGTGGGTGTCTTGGCCACTGTTGCCCCACCCTTGTCAGAGCTGGAAGCATGGACACACCTTCCTCTGTTGCTCCAGTTGCTTCTCCTCCTCCAAGAGCTGCTGTTTCCTTCTCTTCCAGGCCTCTTCCTGCCCAGGATGAGAGACAAGGAGTATGCAGTGGTGACCAAAGAGTTTGCCAGTTTGGTGGGCCTCAAGACCCTGCCACCATAGCCACTTCCTTCCCAAAATGAGACATCAAGATGCTGCGAGGGGTGCCCGGCACTACTTCCATGACAAAGGACTCTTGTGCAAGGGCAGCAGCAGGAGGAAGGGAGGTTCCAAAAGAAGGGTCCTCCCTCTCTCACCTGGGCCTGGAGCTGGGCAGCTTTTGCCTGCACCTCCTGAACTCGGAGCTCCCTTTCCAAGGCCGTCTTTTCCTCCTGCGCAAAGAGATCCAAGGGAGAGCCTGAGCCTCTGCCAAAGGGGTTGGGCTGGTCCCATGTTTTGCGAAGGAAATCTGTCTGCCCAATCCCACTCCCCAGGTACCTCTTCCTTTTGGCTCCTGCACAGGTCCCTCAACTGCTCGGCGTGCTTCCTCCGCAAGGCTTCCACCTCAGCTTCGTGGCTGGCTCTCAGGTGCTCCCGCTCCTCCTGAAGCTGGCTCTGCAGTTCCTCCCGCCGCCTCCTCTCCTGCCACAGAGACAGAGCACAGTGGTCCACTCTCAGTCAGGAGGCCAGCCAGTTTTGCTCCTGACCACTCCCTCCCCCCAATTTCTGGGCCTCACTGTCCCACAAGGAATCATGGTACCCACTTCCTTGCTGGCAACAGGACCCCTAGGTCTTGTCCAAAATATTAAAAATTACCCAGGTATTTTTAATTACAAAAATGTGAGTAAAGTACTGAAAGGGTTAAATTGATGTAATGACTCAGAAAAAGCTGCAGTTCAATATAAGCAGGTGTGCCTGTAGCTTAGTAGCCCTCAGTCTGTGAGAGGTCTCTGTGGGAGAAGGGCTTCAGTGTGTTAGTAGGCCTCAGTATGGGTAGGCCTCAGTGTTAGTTAGTTCACCTCAGTGGGAGAGAGGCGTCAGTCTGAGAGAGCCCTCAGTCTGAGAAGGCCTCAGTGGGAGAAAGGCCTCAGTTTAAATGCACCTCAGTATGAGAAGGTGTGGTGTGAGTAGTTTTGGTGAGAGAAGCCCCAGTTGAAGGCCATTGTGTGTGGAGCTTCAGTGTGAGAAGGCTGTTGTGTGTATAAAGCTCCTGTGTGAAGGTCCTGTGTAAGTTCAGTGTGAGAAGAGGCTCTGTGAGAGCGAAGCTATTTATCTGCATGAGAATGAAGCCCAGTGTGGAAGCAAAGAAGGAAGTATAAAGAACTTTGTTTGCGTTATGGGAACCTTGTTCTTGTACATAGTACAACCATATTATTTTCTATAATGAAAAGCCTCCTACAGAAGACATAACGTTCATCTGTGTGTTGTTGTTCTTTTAATCACATTGCTACCAGTGCTGGGTCATGCTGCTGCAAATACGTGGGAAGTGTCTTTTGTCAATAAGCCCACTCGCTCTACAGGTCTGCCCCCAGGGCTCACCTCCTCTTGGTGCTGCACCTGGATCTCTGCCAGGGCCTCCCGGTGTGCCTCCTGCGCCTTCTCCAGCCGCTTCGTGTGATCCCGCTCCACTTCCTGCCGCTTCTCCCTCAGGAGATCACTGAGCTGAGGAGGCAGCAAAACACAAGGCCTTCCTGGGTGAGGGGCACTTTCTTCCTCACAAAAAGCCACAGGAGAGACCAGACCAGGTCCCTCCCAACTCTAGGATTCTCCAAGAAGCAGGTGGTCTTCAAGGCCCCTCTGAGACCCAGCACAATGGCCCATGGATCAGAAGGGGGGCCTCTTTCACAAGCTGTGCCTCTCTGAGACCACTGGCAGTGCCCTGGGCAACCAAGGAAGGACACTACCACTGTCCTGCAATGGTGCAAGGGACTCCTCTGAGACCCAGCACAATGGCCTATGGATCAGGAGTAAAAGGGGTCTCTTGCACAAGCTGTGCCACTCTGAAACCACTGGCAGTGCCCTAGGCAACCAAGGAAGGATGTTACAGCTGTCCTGCAATGGTGCAAGGGCCTCATCCTTCCTGCTGCTTCCCTGCAGTGCTTAATAAGTCCCTGTGCTTCCGACCAGCATTCCTCATCTGACTGGGATCCCACGAGAGGACTCCGGGCCTCCCGCTCTCCTCCTTGGTGCCACCCTCCTTGGAAGAAAGCTCCCAGGCCCTTCTGAGACCCTCTTGGACACCCTCTTGGCTGTGGGGGACAACTCTGCTGCCTTGACCTCAGTGGACAGTTTAGCCAGGTGTCACAGACGCCACTCCAACTCAGAGCCACTGAGCTGTGGGATGGCAATGCGCTTTGGCCCAGCCCTCCTTACCTCTCGGTCATATTCTGCCACTTGATGCCTTTTCCGCTGCACTTGTTGCTCTGCGCATTCCAGCTCCTCCTGCAATTCTGCCTCTGCCTTTTGCTGAGCCTCCGCTATCTGCCTTTGGAGCGCAGAGAGGGCCTGTGCAAAGAGCACAAAGAGGATCAATGGAGGCTTGGGCCTGGAAGAGGCGGGAGGCAAAGGCACCAGCACTGTACCTTCTCGTGCACTTCCTGGGCCGCTGCTCTCTGCTGCTCAGTCTCTGCGGCAAACTGGGCTTCTAGTTGTTGTAGGGCCTGGAAAAGAAGGGAGGATCCCACATCAGCGGCCTGTTCCCAAAATGGAGGGGCAGGGTTGCAAGGTCCCCTAAGGATTGTCCCTTGGGCAAAATGACTGGGAGTGACAGCTGAGAACAAAAGTAAAGTAGCTGCAAAGTGCTATAAAAGGAGGCTATGGATGTGGAAATGGCCAAAGCGTTAAAATAAAACTGGTGAGTGCTGTACAGTTGACTCAAACACACAACACACACACAAACTGGGTGGTCAACTCCCAATCTTCCAGAGAATGACAGGATCCTTTCACATAGCCCACAATGTTCAAGTTTCCATCTTTTCAGGGCCATCTAAGACCATGTCTATCAGATCTGGAGATGTTTTGAGGCATAATACCCCTTAAGGGGTGTTTTATAGACAATTATCACCCCATAAAAAATTGGGGCTGACTTACATCTCAAACAAAAGGAGATGGTAGAGCCAGAAGAGATTTTCAACATTTACCAAAAAGCAAAAACAAGTTGGTTTAAGAGGGATAATCTACAAGAAAGCCTGCTTGGACTTTTTGAGAGCCCTTTCCAATGGGATAAACATGTTAAAATTAAATGGACATATTGTTACTTTAATGATGGCCTGACCTAAAAGAAAAACACTGAGACTGTACCAAGCAGTTATGGGACTGAACAACTGTCCTCTGAGAAAAGGCAATGATATTTGGAGGACCTTAACTCACAATTAGAAGGGCCAAAGAGTAAAATGGAAGAAAGTCACCCACTAAAACAGTACAGGGATGAAAACCAGATGGCACCATGCAAAGTGGAAATTATGGAATTCCCTGCCTACTCAGAAAATGGTTTATGAATAAAGACGAGAGCCAAGAGAGAGCCCTGGCAGCGCTGCTATATGTGACGGCCTGTGCCTCCGGGGCAGCCATGCCCTCTCTCTGGCGGCCAGCTTCCGGGCTTCTTATGGGCAATGCTCTGGCATGGGGCAGGCAAGCAGACAGAGATGAAGAGCCTCCTCACCGCCTCCTTTTCCTGGCGCAGTCTCTCCTTCCGCTCGCTCACGGCTTTCTGGAGGTCCTGCTCCAGCTCTGCCTCCTGGGCCTCCTGAGCAGCCTCCGCCTCTCGCTTCATCCGTTCCAGGGAAAGGCGCGCCTCCTCCCTCAGCGCCTGCTCCTCCAACCGCCGAAGGGACTCCAGTTCCTCCCTGTCAGGAAGAGAGTGGCTCAGGAAGAGAATGTCTACTCTTTAGCACCAGAGGACAAGCGTCCGGAGGCTGAAATATGGGGCCCAGCTTCTGTTGTCAGAAAAGTAGCCTCTTAACACTGACAACGCCTTTAACAAGCCGCACCACCCATTGCCCGGCTGCTGGAACACCTGCGCGGGGTGTCTCCATGGCCATGGCACCCATCATTTGGACACCGGAACACCTGTGAGGGGGTTCGTTTTCGGGGTTCTCCCGCCTCGCCTGTTGCTTCTATGAAAAGGTTACTGAGGCTGCTGCCCTTCCTCAGGCAGCTGGCAAAGGCTATGCATGTTTCCCACTTAAAAGGATGCCCTCCCTTACAATTACCAGTTGGAAGGTTCATCAAGGGGCTGCTGGGTTGCAAGGAAATAGAAAAATATGCTGTCATAGATAATGAAGGAAGGAGATGCCAGGCAATGTTACAGCCAACTGTGGTGGGTACCTGAGCCTCTCCTTCTCTGCCTCCGTTTCAGAAGAGATTTGGGTACGGAGTGCCTCCAGCTCCTGAAGAGCCTTCTCCCGCAGGTCCAGCTCCTCTTCCCGTCTGGCATTCTCCAGCTCACATTTCAGGGATCTAAGGGACAAGGAGGAGGGTCTCAGCTTGAAGCCAGCTCCTTGCTGCCACAGGAGCACAACGCTGAATGTGGAGGAAGGCCAAGCGCTGTGTCCGCATGGCTCTCCTCTGATTGGGGCCCATCATCCAAGCCCCTTTCCCAAGGAGTTGGTGTGTGTGTGTGTGTGTGTGGGTGGGTGTGTGGAGCTCACTGAAGGGCCTCCTCCTTCTGCTGATGGAACCCCTGAGTCTCTTCCTCCTCTTCTTGCCGCAGCTGTTCCGGGAAGCGCTGGATCGCAGCTTGTTTTGCGTGTTGCAAAGACAAGGCCTGTCCTTTGCTAGCGGAAGCTTCCTCCACTTCGTTTTCTGCGGAGCCCTCTTCTTTCCGGGGTATCATTAATTTGACCTCAGACTCAGCATTTCTATCACCAGGGGAAACAAATCCACAATAACAGCCACTGGGAACAGACTGGGCAATGAGGAGACCCCAGGCACCACCCACCACTGCAATAGTTCAACCAGGAGAAAAAGCAAGAGGCGCAGAAACATTCTGCCACAGCACCAGACATCCAACCAGAGGGTTCTGCTCTTGTGGGCCCTCTGACTGTGCTTTCTGGGGGGGGGGGGGAGAGCCCAAGGGAAGCTAGCTCTGTACCTTTCAGGTGCCTCAACCGACCCCTGGCTCCGGCCCTCTTCCAGGCCGCCTTCCGTGCGTCCTGCTTCCTCTCCGGGCAGCCAGACTTCTCCCTGCAAGAGGAAGCAACACACCACAGGGTCTGCCAAAGCCCTGGCTTTCTGGAGGGAAATGGGAAGCAGCCAGAGCCACCCTTTGTATATTAATTTGGGTGTCATGCCCGTCAGAAATATGAAAAATTAACTAGGTATATTTAATTACAGAAATGTGAGGGTTAAATGGATGCAATGACTCAGCAAAAGCTGTAGTTCTATATAAGCAGCTTGGCAGCCCTCAGTCAGAGGGAGTGCTCAGTGTTAGCAGACCTCAGTGAGAGAGGCTACAGTATGATAGGCCCCAGTGTGTTAGTAGGCCTCAGTATGAGAAGGCCTCAGTGTGAGAAAGGAGTCAGACTGAGAGGCCTCGGTATGAAAAGGCCTCATTGTTAGAGAAGCGTCAGACAATGTGAGAGAGGAGTTAGACTGAGAGGCCTCTATATGAGAAGGCCTCAGTATGAGAGAGGAGTCAGACTGAGAGGCCTCGGTATGAGAAGGCCTCAGTGTGAGAGAGGAGTCAGACTGAGAGGCCTCTATATGAGAAGGCCTCAGTATGAGAGAGGAGTCAGACTGAGAGGTCTCGGTATGAGAAGGCCTCAGTGTGAGAGAGGAGTCAGACTGAGAGGCCTCTATATGAGAAGGCCTCAGTATGAGAGAGGAGTCAGACTGAGAGGTCTCGGTATGAGAAGGCCTCAGTATGAGAGAGGAGTCAGACTGAGAGGTCTCGGTATGAGAAGGCCTCAGTGTGAGAGAGGAGTCAGACTGAGAGGGCTCGGTATGAGAAGGCCTCAGTGTGAGAGAGGAGTCAGACTGAGAGGGCTCGGTATGAGAAGGCCTCAGTGAGAGAGACGAGTCAGACTGAGAGGCGCCTGGCTCAGCAAGGGAAGGTACTCCCTCACCTCTGGACATAGGAAGCACCCACCTCATCGTCGGAGCCAGAGCCCAGGGCACTGACATCCACGTGGAGATTCCTGAGGAGCCGGGCTCCTCGCCGCGGGCCCTGAAAGGCGAGGAGGGTCTGCTACTGCCTGCTCCAAGCCCCTCTTCTCCAAGAACTGACCCAGAATGACACAAAAGAGGCTCCCCCACCTCACCCTGGGGTTGTTGGGTGGGGAGAAAGCCCTTCCAGTGGATTTGCACCCACTGGTCTCCCACCTCTGAAGCAAGGGTGCATCTGCAAGAGATCAGCCTGGAACCAGGGACCGGAGAGGAGGGGGGGGGGGCTCCATCCAAAGGCTATTGGGAGGATGAATGGGACAAGGCTCCTCTACCTCACTGATGCTATCGTCTTCCTTCTCCACACTGTTGTCGGACAGCAACAGGTCCAAGGCAGAGGCTGCTTCTGCTGCTTTTTCCTGGGCCACCAATTCACACACACCTCTTCTGCAGCTGTCAGGCTACGGAATACAACAAAAGTGTCAGAAATATTAAATATTAAGGAGGTATTTTTAATTACAAAAATGTTAGTCAAGCACTGAAAGGGTTAAATGGATACAGTGACTCAGCAAACACAGCAGTTCAATATAAGCAGGTGTGCCTGTAGCATAGTAGTCCTCAGTCTGTGAGAGGTCTCTGTGGAAGAAGGGTCTCAGTATGTTAGTTAGTAGGACTCAGTATGAGTTGGCTCAATGTCAGTTCGCCTCCGTGGGAGAAAGGCCTCAGTCTGAGAGAGAGCGCTGTGTGAGCAGGCCACAGTGGGAGAACACTCAGTTTGAGAGAGCACTCTATGTGAGAAGGCCTCCACGGGAGAAAGCCCTCAGTCTGAGAGAACGCTCTATGTGAGAAGGCCTCAGCGGGAGAAAGGCCTCAGTCTGACAGAGTGCTCTGTATGAGCAAGCCTTAGTGGGAGAAAGGCCTCAGTCTGAGAGAGTGCTCTATGTGAGCAGGCCTCAGTGGGAGGAAGGCCTCAGTCTGAGAGAGCACACTATGTGAGAAGGTCTCAGCGAGAGAAAGGCCTCAGTCTGAGAGACTCTGTATGAGCAGGTCTCAGCAGGAGAAAGGCCTCAGTCTGAGAGAGCGCTCTATGTGAGCAGGCCTCAGCGGGAGAAAGGCCTCAGTCTGAGAGAGCGCTCTATGTGAGCTGGTCTCAGTGGGAGAAAGGCTTCAGTCTGAGAGAACACTCTATGTGAGCAGGCCTCAGCGGGAGAAAGGCTTCAGTCTGAGAGAACACTCTATGTGAGCAGGCCTCAGCAGGAGAAAGGCCTCAATCTGAGAGAGCGCTCTATGTGACCAGGCCTCAGAGGGAGAAAGGCCTCAGTCTGAGAGAGCGTTCTATGTGAGAAGGCCTTAGTGGGAGAAAGGCCTCAATCTGACAGAGCGCTCTGTATGAGCAGGCCTCAGTGGGAGAAAGGCCTCAGTAGGAGAAAGACCTCAGTGGGAGAAAGGCCTCAGCGTTAGTAGGCTTCAGTATATAAATGCCGCAAATAAATAAATAAATAAATAACTGTGCAGTACTTCGATCCAGGAAGTGAGCATGCAGCTACCTTTCCAAAGGAACTCCTAAAATGAGAACCCATCCCATCCAAACCTTCTTCTCCTGAAAACTCCTCTCAAAAGAGGTTAACAATGAAGCCTTAACAACAGGGAGGACCCATCAGGCATCATTCCTGGGAGCAAGATCAGGGGGAAACTAGAAGCCAGCCTGCCCTCCCTCCCTGCTCCTGGCTCTTAACAGAAGGCAGGAAAGAATACCTGAGCCGCCTACCTCTTCGCCTTTCTCTCCTTGCGGTGCAAATGCAGTCCGGCTGCCCTTCTCCGTGAGCGAGGGCTCCCTTTCTCCTGGGTCCTCCGCAGCAGAGGGCGGCCCTCTTGGACTCCCAGTCTCAGAGACCGCAGCTTCCCCAGAGTCTTCCTGAGCGGCGCCAGGCGACTGGCTAAAGGGTTTGGCCACGGGGTGCTTTGCCCTCCGCGACCTCTTGACCATGTGCAGCATGTGCCGGTGGAACTTCTGGTCCTCGGAGTAGCACTCGCTTTCGGAGAGGTCCTCCGAGGAGCTGTGGGTCTGCGAATGAAGGGCTTGCAGGAAGGGCCTCTTGGCCGTGGGATCTGCAGGGCGGTCGGTGTCGTGGGAGCTCTGCAGGTCCCAGGAGAAGTTGTCCACCTCACCCAGGACCTGGGAGGCCAAGTGGTCCACCAGGCTGCTGCCCACGCTGCCGCCACCGGAGTCCGCCTTGGTGCTGGGAAAGGGCTCAGGACTGGCCCGCGCTCCAGCCTCAGCCTCCACTCGCAGTCCGGAGCCTGCAACCGGGGCCGCCCCCTGCTCCCCAGCCTCCCTTCCACTCCTGCTGTGTTCTGTGGCCTGGCGTTGCTCTGGGAGTCCTTTCCTCCTCCTTCCGTCAAGCAGCCGTAGCCCATTCCCCAGAGGGTGGGAGACCCCGTCTTCGTCCTGGGCGCTGCTGGGCTGGAGGGAAGCCACAGAGCGAGCGGTCGGGACTTCCGCGGCCACAGCAGGCCGGAGGCTCCCATCTCTCTCTCCCGAGAGGGCATCAACAGGGCTGTGACCTTCGAGGGCACTGATGTCCCCTTGCTCTTTGCCCAGAGTCACAACCTCCAGCAAGAGGCCTCCCCTTGGGGGTGACTCCGTGCCCAGTGAATGGTCGTCAGCTGGAGCCCCACGGAGAGGCTCTTTCACGGTCCGGAAGTGACGCTGTGCACCATGGGGGCTCTCAGTGTCTTCGAGCTCCGAGTCTGAAAAGGCGCCGGCGGCCGCACACCGGACCTCTGCGGCGGCGTCTTGTCGGGGCGGATGGCCGGCATCGTGCTTGCCGGCGGACGACGAAGCTCTTCCCAGGATCTTCTCAACGTCCGCAAGGATCTGGTGTGTGCGGCTAGGCTTGGCTAGCGAGAGTGGCTGCAGTTTGCCCGAGGCACCGGCCGGGAGGAGCCTCAAAGGGTCGCTGGGCTCCAGAGGCACCGCAGGGGATCTCCCCTTCGGGCCCCTCAGGAAGGGCTCCTGCCTCGCGGTCAGGCTGCCCTGCGGCTCGAGGTCGGGGCTGGCCCTGCCCGAGGAGGAGGCCGGCGAGAGCGTTCTGTAGAAGGAGGCCGAGGGAAGGAGACCTGACTCCGACTGCACCTCCTGGGCAGAGAAACAGGCAAAGCACAGGTGCATTTGGTTAGGAAAGTACCCTAAAATAAAGCAGAGCATCCAAAAAACTAACAGGATACAAAAGCTGAGCATCAGATCCCTACTGAGCAGAGCGTGAAGTGCCCTGTGATGTGGCTGTAATGAATTGAGAGATTAGGAGGCAAACATGCAGAGTCGTCACAAAAGGTTTATCTATATAAACAAAAATGTAATGTTCGTTTGTGGGATTAACAGAACTCAAAAGCCACTGGACGAATTGACACCAAATTTGGACACAAGACACCTAGCAACCAACTTTACCTGGAATATTGTGTCCAATTCTGGGCACCACAATTCAAGAGATATTGTCAAGCTGGAATGTGTCCAGAGCAGGGCAACTAAAAGGATCAAGGGTCTGGAGAACAAGCCCTATGAGGAGCGGCTTAAGGAGCTGGGCATGTTTAGCCTGAAGAAGAGAAGGCTGAGAGGATATATGATAGCCATGTATAAATATGTGAGAGGAAGTCATAGGGAGGAGAGAACAAGCTTGTTTTCTGCTTCCCTGGAGACTAGGACACAATGGAGCCATGGTTTCAAACTACAAGAAAGGAGATTCCACCTGAAAATGAGCAAGAACTTCCTGACTGTGGGAGCTGTTCAGCAGTGGAACTCTCTGCCCCAGAGTGTGGTGGAGGCTCCTTCTGTGGAGGCTTTTAAACAGAGGCTGGATGGCCATCTGTTGGGGGTGCTTTGAATGGGTATTCTGCTTCTTGGCAGAATGGGGTTGGACTGGGTGGCCCACCAGGTCTGTTCCAAGGCTAGGATACTATGATCTTAGAGCTTCCTGACTGTGAGAGCTGTTCAGCAGTGGAACTCTCTGCCCTGGAGTGTGGTGGAGGCTCCTTCTGTGGAGGCTTTTCAACAGAGGCTGGATGGCCATCTGTCAGGGGTGATTTGAATGCAATATTCCTGCTTCTTGGCAGAATGGGGTTGGACTGGATGATGGCCCAGGAGGTCTATTCCAACTCTAGGATTCTATGACTCTATGTCCAAAACACCTGGAGGATGACAGAAGTTGGCCCATGCCAACACAGCCCCTGCCTGCTCTTTGCCTGGCTCACCCGCTTCAGCAGCAGTATTTCCTCGCCCTTCTTCTTCCGCTTGTCCTTCTTGCGCTGTTTTCCGGGTCTCTTTTGGAGACCGCCTCCCCCTCCTCCCCCTCCCCCTCCCCCGGGGTCCAGGCGCCGCTCCCGCTCCTGGGCCACGAGCTGCCGGTAGCGTTCATCGCAGGGATGGTCCCAGCTGGACTGGCCGGTGGCGAAGTTGAAGTAGTAGATGTCCCCCGTCACGTCCTGGCTGCAGAGAGAGGGCAGAAAAGGGGCAGGCCATGACCACCTCCTCATTCTTGGGACACCCCTCCCACCCAGGATATCATTGACATGATGGCAACAGTCTTGGACAGCAATGGCTCCCAAAGTGACCCATTTAAGGTGGAATCAGGTGTCAAACAGGGATGTGTTATTGCCCCAACCTTATTTTCCATCTTCATCTATGATACTTCATCTTGTTGATGGGAAGCTTCCCACCAGAATGGAAATCATCTATTTATTTTATCTATTTAACCTCAGCAGACTGAAAGCCAAAACCAATGTTACAACAACATCTGTTATAGAACTCCAGTATGCTGATGACAATGTTGTCTGTGCGCATTCAGAAGACCTACAAGCCACTCTAAACACCTTTGCAGAAGCATACGAGAAGCTTGGCCTGTCATTAAACATTGAGAAAACCAAAGTGCTCTTCCAGCAGTCACCAGCCATCCCCTCCCCAATGCCAGAGATACAGCTTAATGGTGTAACGTTAGAAAATGTGGACCATTTCCACTCCCTTGGCAGCCACCTCTCCACCAAAGTCAACCTTGACACCGAAATACAACACCACCTGAGCTCTGTGAGTGCAGCATTTTCCCCAATGAAGCAGAGAGTGTTTGAGGGAGAGTGACCAAGGGGCTTGTTGATAAATCTATTGTCCTCCCAACCCTGCTCTACTCCTGCGAGACGTCTACAGACGTCACATGCAACTCCTGGAATGATTCCATCAGTGCTGCCTCCGGAAAATCCTGCAAATCTCTTGGGAAGACCAGTGGACAAATGTCAGCGTGCTGGAAGAAGCAAAGACCACCAGCAATGAAGCGATGGCCCTCTGCCATCAACTCCGCTGGACCGGCCATGTTGTCCAGATGCCTGACCACCGTCTCCCAAAGCAGTTGCTCTACTCTCAACTCAAGAATGGAAAACGGAATGTGGGTGGACAGGAAAAGAGATTGAAAGACGGGCTCAATGCCAACCTTAAAATCTCTGGCATAGACACTGAGAACTGGGAAGCCCTGGTCCGTGAGCACTCCAGTTGAAGGTCAGTTGTGACTAGCAGTGCTGCAGAATTTGAAGAGGCACAAATGGAGGGCGAGAGAGAGACATGTGCCAAGGGGAAGGCGCGTCAAGCCAACCCTGACCGGGACCACCTTCCACCTGGAAACCGATGCCCTCAATGTGGGAGAAGATGCAGGTCAAGAATAGGACTCCACAATCACCTACGGACCCACCCTGGAAGACTCGGACAACGAGGGATCGCCTAAGCAAAGTAAGTGAAGGATATCATTGAGGATCCTGTTAGTCTTGCCACTGACGTCTCTATTTCCCCCCTTTTCTTGTTACATCCCTGCATTGTATCGTCTTCCACATCACAGGAAAGGAGGTTACACCTGAACATGTGGAAGAACCTCCCACTAGAAGTCAAGCCATGGCTCCTTCTCTGGAGGTCTTTCAGTAGAGGCGGGATGGATGCCCATCTGTTAAGAGTGATCTGATTGTGCTTCTCCTTCCTGGCAAAATGGGAGTTGGATAGGAAGGCCTTTGGGGGAATTTTCTAACTCTAGGATTCTATCATTACTTGCAAAGCTTGGATGGCCATCTGTCGGAAGGGCTTGGGTAGTGTCTTCCAGCATGGCAGGACGGGGGTTAGCCTAGATGGCATTTGGGAACCCCTTCCATCTCTTATATCAACAGAGTTTGGATGGACATCTGTACAGAGGGCTTGGGTGGTGCTTTTCCTGCCTGGAAGCGGGGGTTGGACTGGATGCCCTTTGGGGGACCCTTCCAATTTTAGGATTCTATCACTATTAGGAGAGCTTGGATGGCCATCTGTTAGGAGGGTTTGGGTGGTGTCCTCCTTCCTGGCTGGACGGGGGGGTTGGACTGGATGCCTTTTGGGGGGCCCTTCCAGCCCTATGATTCTATTATTATTAGCAGAACTTGGATAGCCATCTGTCTATAAAGAGATTTTGGGTGGTGTCTTTACGCCTAGCATGGTAGGGGTTGGACTAGATGCCCTTTGGGGACTCTAGGATGTTATCAGTTACCAGAGCTTGGATGGCCATCTGTTGGGAGGGTTTGGGTGGTGTCTTTATGTGTGGCATGGTAGGGGTTGGACTGGATGCCCTTTGGGGACGCTAGGATTATGTCATTATTATCAGAGCTTGGCTGGCCATCTTTCGGGAGGGCTTGGATGGTGTTTTTTCTGCCTGGCAGCATGGAGGTTGAACTAGATGCTCTTTGGGGACTCTAGGGCTGTGTCATTATTAGCAGAGCTTGGATGGCCATCTGTCAGGAGAGCTTGGTGTCTTCCTTCCTGCCAGGATGGGGGTTGGACTAGATGCTCTTTGGGACCCCTAGGGTGCTATCACGGTTACCAGAGCTTGGATGGCCATCTGTTAGGAGGGTTTGGGTGATGTCCTCCTTCCTGGCAGGATGGGGGTTGGACTGGATGCCCTTTGGGGACTCTAGGATTGTGTCATTTTTATCAGGGCTTGGCTGGCCATCTGCGGGGAGGGTTTGGGTGTTGTCTTCCTGCCTGGCTGCAATGGGGTGGGTCTAGCTGCCCTTTGGGGGCTCACCAGGGCTTCCACTCTGCGGGCAGCGGGGCCACGATGCCCTCCCGTGCCAGCCACAGCAGCTCCGGCTCGGCCTCCGGGTCGATCCCGATCACGCGCGCGAACTCCTGGATCTCTGCGGGGAAAGAGCCCGGTTAGGACCGGAAGCGGGGAAGGAAGGGAGGGAGGGAGGCGGAAGTCAGGCAAGGCAGGCGGACCTCTGTGGCTGGGGATGTAGGCCTCGTCGTAGTCCTCCTCCAGGATGAGCTGGTCCCCGATCCGCAGCGCCGCCGCCGCCGCCCCCGCCGGGCCCGCCATGCCGCCTCTCCTCCCGCCGGAAAGGAAGGAAGCCAAAGGAAGGCCAGCGGGAAGAGGAGAGGAGGGGCGTCGGTTGCTATGGCAGCGAGGCGCTTGCTTCCGCGCAGGCGCACTGGCTCTCGCGAGGAAAAGGGGGCGGGGCCACAACTCCCAGGAAACACACCACACGGCCCCGCCCCCTCCCCATTGACCTCCCCTCAGAAGCGATCCCAGGCTTGGGCAAGCTCCAGTCCTCCCTCCAGGTGTTTTGGACTACAACTCCCACAATTCCTAGCAGCCCCAGGCCCCTTTCAACCCCTGGCCCGGATTCTAGTTCCAATGTATAGTCCTCCGCCGCCCTCTAGTGGCCGCATCGGGGAGTTGCACCCTTAGACTGGAGCTGGAGGTCTATCTATGGCCACCTTGTGGCCATAGTGAGGAATTGCATCTCTCTCTTATCTATGTTATCTATCTATCTATCTAAAGGTAATGCTCAAGATCCTGCAAGGAAGACTCCAGCAATACATGGAGCGAGAGTTGCCAGATGTTCAAGCTGGGTTTAGAAAAGGCAGAGGAACGAGAGACCAGATTGCCAATATCCGCTGGAGAATGGAGAAAGGCAGGGAGTTTCAGAAAAACATCTACTTCTGCTTCATTGACTATTCTAAAGACTTTGACTGTGTGGATCATCATAAATTGTGGCAAGTTCTTAGTGGGATGGGCATCCCAAGCCACCTTGTCTCTCTCCTGAGGAATCTGTACAAGGACCAAGTAGCAACAGTCAGAACTGACACTGGAACAACAGACTGGTTCAAGACTGGGAAAGATGTACGGCAGGGTTGTATACTCTTCCCCAACCTATTCAACTTGTATGTAGAACACATCATGCGAGGATGTGCGGGGCTTGATGAATGCAAGGCTGGGGTGAAAATGGCTGGAAGAAACATTAACAACCTCAGATATGCAGATGACACCACTCTGATGGCCGAAAGCGAGGAGGAGCTGAGGAGCCTTCTAATCAAGGTGAAAGAAGAAAGCGCAAAAGCCGGGTTGCAGCTAAATGTAAAAAAAACCAAGATTATGGCAACAAGAATGATTGACAACTGGAAAATAGAAGGAGAAACCGTGGAGGCCGTGACAGACTTTGTATTTCTAGGTGCAAAGATTACTGCAGATGCAGACTGTGGCCAGGAAATCAGAAGACGCTTACTTCTTGGGAGGAGAGCAATGTCCAGTCTCGATAAAATAGTAAGAGTAGAGACATCAGACTGGCAACAAAGATCCGCCTAGTCAAAGCCATGGTATTCCCTGTAGTCACCTACGGATGTGAGAGCTGGACCTTAGGGAAGGCTGAGCCAAGGAAGATCGATGCTTTTGAGCTGTGGTGTTGGAGGAAAGTGCTGAGAGTGCCTTGGACTGCGAGAAGATCCAACCAGTCCATCCTCCAGGAAATAAAGCCCGACTGCTCACTGGAGGGAAAGATACTAGAGACAAAGTTGAAGTACTTTGGCCACATCATGAGGAGAAAGGAAAGCCTAGAGAAGACAATGAAGCTGGGGAAAGTGGAAGGCAAAAGGAAGAGGGGCCGACCAAGGGCAAGATGGATGGATGGCATCCTTGAAGTGACTGGACTGACCTTGAGGGAGCTGGGGGTGGTAACGGCCGACAGGGAGCTCTGCCGTGGGCTGGTCCATGAGGTCACGAAGAGTCGGAGACGACTGAACGAATGAACAACAACAACATCTAATCTATTTATTTATTTATTTATTTACTTTATTTGTATACTGCACTATCTCAGCCCGCAGGCGACTCAGTGCGGTTTACAACAGGTCAATATACAAGGTGCACAGCATTAGCATTAACATTTAAACAATAACTGAAGCAACTAAAACAATACAACAATACATCAGTAAATCAACATGACATCAATACATCCATATAACTAATCCAACACGTCTCATCAGTAAAGTCATAATCCGATCTCCTCGTCCATTATTCCAAGTTCCAAATTCCAAGTTCCAAACTCAGTCAATTGATTGCACTACTTAATTGAACGCCTGTTCAAAGAGCCAGGTCTTCACTCTTCTCCTGAACGCCAGCAGGGAGGAGGCCGATCTAACGTCTGCGGGAAGGGCGTTCCACAGCCGAGGGGCCACCACTGAGAAGGCCCTGTCTCTCGTCCCCACCAGCCGTGCTTGTGAGGCTGGCGGGATCGAGAGCAGGGCCTCCCCGGACGATCTTAATGTCCTAACTGGTTCATAGGAGGATGCGTTCGGACAGGTAGGTCGGGCCAGAACCGTTTAGGGCTTTAAAGGCTAAAGCCAGCACTTTGAATTGTGCCCGGTAGCAAATTGGCAGTCAGTGGAGCTGGCGCAACAGGAGTGGTGTGCTCCCTGAGTGCCGCTCCTGTTAACAACCTGGCTGCCGATCGTTGGATGATTTGTAGCTTCCGAGCCGTCTTCAAAGGCAACCCCACGTAGAGAGCGTTGCAGTAATCTATACGGGATGTAACCAGTGCGTGGACTACCGTGGCCAAGTCAGACTTCTATCTATCCATCCATCTCTCTCTCTCTTATCTATCTATCTAATCTATCTGTCTTATCTAATCTATCTATCTTATCTATCTAATTTATCTATCTTATCTATCCATCCATCCCCCGCGCTATCTTATCTATCTTATCTATTTTTATCTAATCTATTTTATCTATCTAATCTATCTTATCTGTCTATCTATCTATCTTATGTCTTATCTCTCTCTCTCTTATCTAATTTATCTATCTATCTTATCTATCTATCTTATCTATCTATCTTATCTAATTTATCTATCTTTCTAATCTATCTATCTATCTATCTATCTATCTAATCTATCTATCTAATTTATCAATCTATCAATCTATTTGCTGTCCCCTGCCATGCATTGCTGTGGCCCAGTCTGTGTGTATATGTTTTGTGTGTGTATATATTTGTGTTTGTGTATATATGGGGTTTTGTGCGTGTGCTGTAATGCTTTTTTTTAAAAAAAAATTGGCCTTTTAAGTCCCTTCCGCTGTGTTTTTCAGTATTTGATGGTCACTTATTGGCCTGATAGCTGTCTTATGTCCAAATTTGGGGTCAATTCGTCCAGTGGTTTTTGAGTTATGTTAATCCCACAAACAAACATTACATTTTTTTAATATAGATTTATTTATTCGTTTATTTATTTACAACATTTCTATGCTGCCCTTCTCTCCCCAAAGGGGACTCATAGTGGCTTACAAGATATATATATACATACACACACACACACACACACACACACACACACACACACACACACTATATTATTAGCATAGTACAATATCAGTATTATATATTACTATATTAATGATATAGTACAATAAAGCAATATTACATGTAATTTTTGTTGTTCATTCGTTCAGTCGTTTCCAACTCTTTGTGACCTCATGGACCAGCCCACGCCAGAGCTCCCTGTCAGCCGTCACCACCCCCAGCTCCTTCAAGGTCAGTCCAGTCACTTCAAGGATGCCATCCATCCATCTTTTAATATGTACATGTAATATAATATATATAATTATGTTATCATATTATTAGTATTATATTGTATTACATTATAATATTATAAATATTGTATGTATGCACAATATATTATATTATTTCCACCAATAGCACTCCTTCACTGAACTCCTTTGGGGAGGAAGAAACAATAAAGGAAGGAAAGAAGGAAGGGCTTGCAAAGGGTCAGTCTTTGGGGGGGGGCTTTTTCGGGGAGACTTCAGGTTACACTTTGCTCACCCCTGAGGCCAGGGATGGAATGGAGCCATCCCTTCCCTGATCCCTTTCCCAGGGTGGGATTTGGCTGTAGTGGCAACCTCTGAGCATGTGCAGAGTGCAACTTCTCCTCTACAGAAGCAATCCTGGATGTGAGTCAAAACCACGGAATGGGCTAATGCACTCTGGACATGGAGAAAGGATATATCAAAATTATCGTTTTTTTTAAAAAGAAGCTAAGCAGGAACAGCCCTAGTTAGTACTTGGATGGGAGACCACTAACTAATGCTGCTCCTTTGCCAAAGAAAACCCACTGAAATTCATGGGATCCCCATAAGTCAACAGGAGGCATGAAAGCGCATAGATGCACACACATGAAAAAGTATATATTTTATGTTTAATCAGATTATAAATCTTCCTATTATTGTTATTATATTTATTTATATTCCACTTTATCTCCCGAAAGGGGACTCAAAGCGACTTGACATAAAAGCATTGGTATCCAATTAAAAAATGTACAAATATACATACAGAATTCAACACAAACATGATTAAAAATTCAGATCAAATCCATCAATCCTATTGTGTGATGTTTGGGACAAAGGCACTTGATCCTGCAGCAGGAAATTTTGATATCATCCACATAATATATTCAGATTCTCAGTCATTTCAGGAAAAAACAACCACAATTGTTGGTTATTAGAAATCTCGATTGGGGAGGGACCCCCAAGGGCCATCTAGTCCAACCCCCTTCTGTTGGGCAGGAAGACACACTCTAAGCCTTCCCAACAGATGGCCATCCAAAGACCTCCAGGTTGTTGGAGCATGTAAAAAAATCAGTTGGAAGTGTGTTAATTCAAAATGCAAAGCACGAAGCTGATTGGTTGGGCCACGCCCAAGAAGCTAGCAGAGCCTGGGAATTTTGGCAACAGTTACATATTCAGACTTTAGCTAGCAGAGCCTGGGAATTTTGGCAACAGTTACATATTCAGACTTTAGCTAGCAGAGCCTGGGAATTTTGGCAACAGTTACATATTCAGATTTTATTCAGACACAGAGAGAGCCTACTATAGCAACTCCCTGCCATGCAGGAAGACAGAATCCAAGCACTCCCAGCAGACGTCCATCCAGCCTCTGCTTCAAAGCCTCCCCCAAGAATTAGCATAAAAATCAAAGAAATAGAAGAGACCCCAAGGGCCATCCAGTCTAGCCCTTCTGACATAAAGGAAGACACAATCAAAGCACCCGACAGATGGCCATCCAGCCTCTGCTTATTATCCTTCGCAGAATTATTATAAAACTGGAGGATACCCCAAGGGCCATCCAGTCCAACCCTTCTGCCATAAAGGAAGACACAATCCAAGTTTTCCCGACAGATAGCCACTCAGCCTCCTGCTTCAAATCCCCAAGAGAAGGAGGTTTAAACTATTTAGTTAAGTAGTTTCCAAAAGGGAATGTATTCTCACTGAAATGAAACACATGAGGAAGAACTTCCTGACTGTGAGAGCCGTTCAGCAGTGGAACTCTCTGCCCTGGAGTGTGGTGGAGGCTCCTTCTTTGGAAGCTTTTAAACAGAGGCTGGATGGCCATCTGTCAGGGGTGCTTTGAATGCAATTTTCCTGCTTCTTGGCAGAATGGGGTTGGACTGGATGGCCCAGGAGGTCTCTTCCAACTCTAGGATTCTATTTTTGTCTGTATTCTGTCACAATAAGCAGCCCAGGTCCCTCAGCATTGTGGCTATGGGCATCTGCTTGGCTATTGTCTCCTCCGCCAGCCCCTAATGCTGTTTCTGGGCCACTAGAACAGCCACATGGTGAACATCAGTGATCTCTGGCGGCAAATGCGCCTCGACCATTTCAAACCAACGAATGCAAAACCCAGCCTCTTTCACGGCCTCTTCGACCCTGTCTTTGGTCAAGTAAAGGCAGGAGAAGCGGTGTGGGCCAACCATGTAGAAGGTCTCCTCAGTGACCACCGCGAAGACAAGGTGGCCCCCGGGTTTGACCAAGGAGCCCACGTTCCTCACGGCAGAACGGTACGTGGGAAGGTCTTGGCAGGCCGCTTCCAGGCAGAGAGTGGAGAGGACGCAGTCGGCCGGAGGGACCACCAAAGGATGGAAAGGGTTGGCCAAAGTCACGTCGCATTTCAGGACTTGCTTGACGGTCCTCCGGAGCTTCTCTTCCTTTTCCACCCACTTCTCCCTGCAAGGAAGGCCATCATTGGGAAACAGGTCTTTTCCAAAGCTGGAAAGCCATGCATTACATTGAAAGTGGCTTTGTTTATTTGTTTACATTTCTATGCCGCCCTTCTCACCCCGGAAGGGACTCAGAGCGGCTTACAAGATATATACATAAAATATATTATATTATTAGCATAGTCCAGTATCAGTATTATATATTACTATAGTGTATTATATCATTATATTGTAATATTATTAGTAATATTACATGTAATATAAAATATATAATTATAATATCATATTATTATTATTAGTATTATAGTGCATATTATATTGCTATATATTAATATAATGTGTGTGTGTGTATATATATATATATATATATATATATATATATATATATATATATTATATACCTCTTCGCTGATGGTGTTTAGGAAGAGACTTAAACAAGCATTCGACTAATCGGTGGCAATCGAATCCAGGTTACTAAGGACAGGAAACATGGACAACGAATTCTGGATTGCGATTTCAACTCGAGATATATGGGATTATTATTGGTGGCCCAATAATTTGTTATTGAATTTGTTATTATGTGTATATGTTTTTAAATTGTAGATTGTTTTAACTGCTGTAAACCGCAATGAGTCGCCGTTCTAGGCTGAGATATTAGCGGTATACAAGTGTATCAAATAAATAAATAAATAAAATATATTAATATAATATAGGTAAAGGTAGTCCCCTGACATTAAGTTCAGTTGTGTCTGACTCTGGGGGTTGGTGCTCATCTCCATTTCTAAGCAAAAGAGCCGGCGTTGTCCGTAGACACCTCCAAGGTCATGTGGCCGGCATGACTACATGGAGCACCATTACCTTCCCACCAGAGTGGTACCTATTGATTTACTCATATGTGCATGTTTTTGAACTGCTAGGTTAGCAGAAGCTGGGGCTAACAGAGGAAGCCCAGATTCAAACCTGTGAGCTAAACGGTTTAACCCACTGGTTTTCTAACTGCTAGGTTGGCAGAAGCTAGGGCTGACAGCGGAAACTAGGGCTGACAGCGGAATCGAACCTGCGACCTTTCGATCAACAAGCTCAGCAGCTCAGTGCTTTAACCCACTGCGCCACCGGGGGCTCCTATAAATATATATATTAATATATTATATCTTATATATTAATATATTATATTGCTTTCTACAATGCGTCACTAATTCATATTTCAAGAGCGACGCAGGAAAAGTAACTTCATTGTTGCCACACAGGAAGATTAAAAAATGTTCCTGCAATTAACAGGATCCTAGAATCAAGGGCCATCTAGTCCAACCCATAAAGGGAGACACAATCAAAGCCCTCCCCACAGACGGCCCAGATGTTTAATGTCCACAGAGAAGTATTTTTTAAACAAAGGGCAGAAGTTGTTAAAGCAGTGTTTCTCAGCCTTCCTAATGCTGCGACCCCTTAATACAGTTCCTCATGTGGTGGTGACCCCCAACCATAACATTTTCATTGCTACTTCAGAACTGGAATTCTGCTAATATTATGAATCATAATATCTGCATAACAATATCTGATAAGCAGGATGTATTTTCATTCACTGGACCAAATTCGGCACAAATACTCGATACGCCCAAATTTGAATAATGGTGGGGTTGAGAGGATTAATTTTGTAATTTGGGAGTTGTAGTTGCTGGGATGTATAGTTCACCTACAATCAAAGAGCATTCTGAACCCCACCAACGATGGAATTGAACCAAACTTGGCACACAGTCCTCCCATGAACAACAGAAAATACTGGGAGGGTTTGGTGGGTATTCATCTTGAGGTTGGGAGTTGTAGTTCACCTACATCCAGACAGCATCATGGACTCAAACAATGATGGATCTGGACCAAACTTGGCACGAATAGTCAATATGCCCAAATATGTACACTGGTGCAGTTTGGGGAAAATATACCTTGACATTTAAGAGTTGTAGTTGCTGGGATTTATAGTACACCTACAATCAAAGAGCATTCTGAACTTCGCCAATGATGGAATTGCACCAAACTTGGAACACAGAACTCCCATGACCAACAGAAAACACGAGAAGGGTTTGGTGGGCATTGAACTTGAGTTTTGGAGTTATAGTTCTCCTACATCCAGAGCACTGTGGACTCAAACAATGATGGATCTGGATCAAACTTGGCATGAATCTTCAATATGCCACATGTTTGGGGAAAATAGACCCTGACATTTGGAAGTTGTAGTTGCTGGGATTTATAGTTCACCTGCAATCAAAGAGCATTCTGAACCCCAACAACAGAATTGAGTCGCCCAAGGGCTGAGAAAAGCGGTATATAAATGAAGTAAATAAGTAAATAAATAAATAATTGGGCCAAACTTCCCACACAGAACCCCCAGGACCAACAGAAAATAGTGCTTTCTGATGGTCTTTGGTGACCCCTCTGACATCCCCTCACGACCCCCCCTGGGGTCCTGACCCCCAGATTGAGAAACACTGCTTTAAAGCCTTGCTGATGACTGCAATCCAAACCCGCCAAGAGGGCCCCAAGCTTCCCTTTCCTTAATGAACGGATATGGAAGGGCAACCATTAGACGCCAAGGCTCTCCTCCGTACCTGTTCCCCTCCAGCTGGCAGACATATTTCACGATGGGACTCCAGTCAAATGCTTCCGGGTCCTTCTTCAGCCATTTCTGCATCTCCTCCCGGTTCTGCTCAAGGAAATCACTGGCAATGATCTCCTTGAAGGACTCACAGGCGGAGAGGAGCTGGTAGATGGAGGGACCGCTGCCGATATCAATCAGGGTGTCTCCTTGGATGCCGCCTGCGTTATGGGGACATCGTGAGATTCCCCTGGATAGAATCTTTACACCCCATTTTTTTCTGACCCTTGACCCATCTGTGACCCACTCTGTTTAGCTTCTTTCAGACCAAGTTTTCAATTAAACTGATTTGACATTCAGCAACACTGGGATTATTCTTGGTCCTTAAATGAGGCCTGTGCTTTCCCCTAAAAACAGATTATACAAAATGAGAGGAGGAATAACTCCTGGATTAAGCCCTGATCTACATTCCCTTTTTAGACCCCCCCCCCCAAATTATTATCATTTTCTCATTGGCATGCATTGGAGTTTTTAGACCTCCAGCTGTTGTTATTATTATTATGGGCTATTGACATGTATTGGAGTCAGGAGCTCTCCAGTTGCTTTGAATGCGACTTTCCTGCTTCTTTACAGAATGCGGTTGGACTGGCTGGCTCAACAGGCCTCTTCCAACTCTAGGATTCTATGAGTAATTATTGATACCCAGCTTTTTCTCTCGACAAAGGAAACACAAAGCTAATTATTGTAATTATAAATAATAACAATAATAATGCTTATTGATACCTGCCTTTTTCTCTCTACAAAGGAGACTTAAATCTAATTATTATGATTAATAATAATAATGCTTATTGATGCCTGGCTTTTTCTCTCTACAAAGGAGTCACAAAGCTAATTATTGTAATTATAAATAATAATAATAATAATAATTCTTATTGATACCTGGCTTTTTCTCTCTACAAAGGAGTCACAAAGCTAATTATTGTAATTATAAATGATAATAATAATTCTTATTGATACCTGGCTTTTTTTCTCTACAAAAGAGACACAAAGCTAATTATTATAATTATAAATAATAATAATAATAATGATGATGCTTATTGATACCTGGCTTTTTCTCTCCAAAGGAGATTTAAAGCTAATGATTATAATTATAAATAATAATGATAATAATGTTTATTGATATCCAGCTTTTTCTGTTCACAAAGGAGACTCAAAGGTAATAATAATAATAATAATAATAATAATAATAATAATAATAATGTTTATTGATGCTTGGCATTTTTTCTCCACAAAGGAGATTGAAAGGTAATAATAATAATGATAATAATAATGATGATGTTTATTGATACCCAGCTTTTTCTCTCTGTAAAGGAGACTCAAAGGTAGTAATGATGATGATGATGTTTACTGATGCTTGGCATTCTCTCTCCGCAAAGGAGAATCAAAGCTAATAATAATAATGACAAGGATGATGTTTACTGATATCTGTCTTTTTCTCTTCACAACGGAGACACAAAGCTAATTATTATAATCATATGTTTATTGATACCCAGCTTTTTCTCTCCATAAAGGAGACTCAAAGCTAATTATTATAATTAAATAATAATAATAATAATAATAATAATAATAATGCTTATTGATACCCGGCTTTTTCTCTCTGTAAAGGAGACTCAAAGCTAATAACAATAATGATGATGATGATGTTTATTGATACCCAGCTTTTTCTCTCTGTAAAGGAGACTCAAAGCTAATGATGATGATTATTATGTTTACTGATACCTGTCTTTTTCACTCCATAAAGGAGACTCAAAGCTTATTATTATATACTAATCTATATAAATAAAAATGTTATGTTCATTTGTGGGATTAACAGAACTCAAAAACCACTGGGCGAACAGACACCAAATTTGGACACAAGAAAGCTATCTGGCCAATGTATGTCCTTCACGTATAAAAAGCCTGAAAAACATGGCAGAAGGAATTTAAAAAGCCCCCAAAAGCTAAATGACTAAAAGTTAAATGACAATACAGAAAAAAGGGAAGAAAGAGGGAGGGAAGGGGAAAAAAGAAAGAAAGAAAGAAAAGAAAGAGGGAGGGAAAGAAAGAAAGAAGGAAAGGGAGAAGGAAACATGGAAGCAAAGAGAGAATTTATTTACTTTATTTATTTACTTTATTTGTATACCGCTGTTCTCAGCCCTTAGGCGACCTTAGACGAGAGAAGGAAGAAAAGAGATAGAGAAGGAAGAAAGGAGAGAAAGAGGGAGGGAAAGAAAAAGTGAGGAGGAAGGAAAGAAAAAAGGGAAAGAGGAAATGAAGGAAGGGGGAAGATGTAAAGAAAGAGGGAGGGAAGGAAAGAAGGAAAGAGAGAAGGAAGAAAAGAGAGACAGCAGAAGAGAAAGAAAAGGGGGGAAGGAAGGAAAGAGATAGAGAAGGAAGGAAGAAAAGAAAAAGGAGGAAGGAAGGAAAGTTAGAGAAGAAAGGAAGGAGAGAAGGAAAGAAAAAAGGGAAAGAAGGAAGGAAAGAGGGAGCGAAGGAAGGGGGAAGATGTAGAGAAAGAGGGAGGGAAGGAAAGAAGGAAAGAGAAGGAAGAAAAGAGAGACAGCAGAAGAGAAAGAAAAAGGGGGAAGGAAGGAAGGAGAGAAGGAAGAAAGGAGAGAAAGAGGGAGGGAAAGAAAAGGGGAAGGAAGGAAAGTTAGAGAAGGAAGGAAGGAGAGAAGGAAAGAAAAAAGGGAAAGAAGGAAGGAAGGAGGGAGTGAAGGAAGGGGGGAAGATGTAGAGAAAGAGGGAGGAAGGGAAGGAAAGAGAGAAGGAAGAAAAGAGAGACAGCAGAAGAGAAAGAAAAGGGGAAGGAAGGAAAGAGATAGAGAAGGAAGAAAGGAGAGAAAGAAGGAGGGAAAGAAAAAGGGGGAAGGAAGGAAAGTTAGAGAAGGAAGGAAGGAGAGAAGGAAAGAAAAAAAGAGAAAGAAGGAAGGAAGGAGGTAGTGAAGGGAGTAAGATGTAGAGAAAGAGGGAGGGAAGGAAAGAAAGAAAGAGAAGGAAGAAAAGAGAGACAGCAGAAGAGAAAGAAAAAGGGGAAGGAAGGGAAAAGATAGGGAAGGAAGAAAGTAGAGAAAGAAGGAGGGAAAGAAAAGGGGAAGGAAGGAGAGTTAGAGAAGGAAGGAGAGAAGGAAGGAGGAAGTAAAGGAAGGGGGGAAGATGTAGAGAAAGAGGGAGGAAGGGAAGGAAAGAGAGAAGGAAGAAAAGAGAGACAGCAGAAGAGAAAGAAAAGGGGAAAGGAAGGAAAGAGATAGAGAAGGAAGGAGAGAAAGAAGGAGGGAAAGAAAAAGGGGGAAGGAAGGAGAGAAAGAAAGGGAAAGAAAAAAGAGAAGGAAGGAAAGAGGGAGTGAAGGAAGGGGGGAAGATGTAGAGAAAGAGGGAGGGAAGGAAAGAAGGAAAGAGAGAAGGAAGAAAAGAGAGACAGCAGAAGAGAAAGAAAAAGGGGGAGGAAGGAAAGAGATAGAGAAGGAAGAAGAGAAGGAAAGAAAAAAGGGAAAGAAGGAAGGAAAGGAGTGAAGGAAGGGGGGAAGATGTAGAGAAAGAGGGAGGGAGGGAAGGAGAGAAGGAAGAAAAGAGAGACAGCAGAAGAGAAAGAAAAAGGGGAAGGAAGGAAAGAGATAGAGAAGGAAGGAAGAAGAGAAGGAAAGACAGGAAGGAAGGAAAGAGAAAGAGGGAGGGAAGGAAAGAAGGAAAGAGAGAAGGAAGAAAAGAGACAAGAAGAGAAAGAAAAAGGGGGAAGGAAGGAAAGAGATAGAGAAGGAAGAAAGGAGAGAAAGAAGGAGGGAAAGAAAAAGGGGGAAGGAAGGAAGGAGGTAGTGAAGGAAGGGGGGAAGATGTAGAGAAAGAGGGAGGGAAGGAAAGAAGGAAAGAGAGAAGGAAGAAAAGAGAGCAGAAGAGAAAGAAAAGGGGGGAAGGAAGGAAAGAGATAGAGAAGGAAGAAAGGAGAGAAAGAAGGAGGGAAAGAAAAAGGGGGAAGGAAGGAAAGTTAGAGAAGGAAGGAAGGAGAGAAGGAAAGAAAAAAGGGAAAGAAGGAAGGAAAGAGGTAGTGAAGGAAGGGGGAAGATGTAGAGAAAGAGGGAGGGAAGGAAAGAGAGAAGGAAGAAAAGAGAGACAGCAGAAGAGAAAGAAAAAGGAAGGAAGGAAAGTTAGAGAAGGAAGGAAGGAGAGAAGGAAAGAAAAAAGGGAAAGAAGGAAGGAAGGAGGTAGTGAAGGAAGGGGGGAAGATGTAGAGAAAGAGGGAGGAAGGGAAGGAAAGAAGGAAAGAGAGAAGGAAGAAAAGAGAGACAGAAGAAGAGAAAGAAAAGGGGGAAGGAAGGAAAGAGATGAGAAGGAAGAAAGGAGAGAAAGAGGGAGGGAAAGAAAAAGGGGGAAAGAAGGAAAGTTAGAGAAGGAAGGAAGGAGAGAAGGAAAGAAAAAAGGGAAAGAAGGAAGGAAAGAGGTAGTGAAGGAAGGGGGAAGATGTAGAGAAAGAGGGAGGGAAGGAAAGAAGGAAAGAGAGAAGGAAGAAAAGAGAGACAGCGGAAGAGAAAGAAAAAGGGGGAAGGAAGGAAAGAGATAGAGAAGGAAGAAAGGAGAGAAAGAAGGAGGGAAAGAAAAAGGGGGAAGGAAGGAAAGTTAGAGAAGGAAGGAAGGAGAGAAGGAAAGAAAAAAGGGAAAGAAGGAAGGAAGGAGGTAGTGAAGGAAGGGGGAAGATGAAAAGAAAGAGGGAGGGAAGGAAAGAAGGAAAGAGAGAAGGAAGAAAAGAGAGACAGCGGAAGAGAAAGAAAAAGGGGGAAGGAAGGAAAGAGATAGAGAAGAAAGGAGAGAAAGAAGGAGGGAAAGAGGTAGTGAAGGAAGGGGGGAAGATGTAGAGAAAGAGGGAGGGAGGGAAGGAAAGAGAGAAGGAAGAAAAGAGAGACAGCAGAAGAGAAAGAAAAGGGGGGAAGGAAGGAAAGAGATAGAGAAGGAAGGAAGAAGAGAGGGAAAGATGGGAAGGAAAGAAAGAGGGAGTGAAGAAAGGAAAGAAGGAGGGAAAGAGGGAAGGTTGGCCACAGCAAAGCGTGGCGGGTACAGCTAGTATGCCTATAATAGCAATACTCTTGTGTCTTGGTGCTCAGGGTTTTCTCTCCACAGAGGGGCCTCCAGGCGAATGATTATGATCCTAGGATAGAGTAATTCACTGGTTCTCTCACTCGGGAGGAAGGCCTGGTGCAGCTTCTCCAGGACGAAGGAGAAGAGGGCCTCGCAGCCGGGCGCGCTCCCGCTCCCAAACGGCAAATGCATGCTGAGATAGTCTTTGGGGCTGAAATGCTGCCGGTAGGCCTCTTTCCCCGTGAAGCCGACCTCCATCTTGGATCTGGAAAAAACAACAACAGAGCAGGAAGCCAGAACAGCGCATGCGCAGATACACCGGGGGGGGGGGAGAGCATCTTCTCTACATTACGCATGCGCCACTTCAGCTCCGCCCACTCAGGAACAACTGGTGCTTTCTGCCTGCCGCTCACTTTGCGCATGCGTCGCGCCTTCGCTTTATTTATGGCAGGCCTGGGCCAACTTGGGCCCTCCCTCCAAGGGTTTTGGACTTCAACTCCCACAATTCCTAGCGGCCTAGCCGGCAAAGGGGTGAACTCTCTGGCCAGAGTGAAGAGAGAGGGAGGCAGAAGGCAGTTCCTTCTTGTCTCCTGTACTTTACTAATATAATATAATATAATATAATATAATATAATATAATATAATATAATATAATATAATATAATATAATATAATATAATATTAATATAATATAATATAATATATAATATAATATAATATAATATAATATAATATAAATATAATATAAATATAATATAATATAAATATAATATAATATAATTAATATAAATATAATATAATAAAATATATTATATATTATATTATATAATATATAATATAATAATGTAATACAATATTATACTACTACTAATAATCCGATATTATAATTATTCCGGGATTGTGGCGCAGCTGGCTGAGTGTCAGCTGCATTAAGATCACTCTGACCAAAAGGTCATGAGTTCGAAGCCAGCCCGGGCTGGAGTGGGTGTCCAGCCATTGTGTAGCCCGTTGTCGACCTTTGCAACCCGAAAGACAGTTGCATCTGTCAAGTAGGAAAATAAGGTACCACCTTGTGTGGGAGGCTAAATTTAACTAATTTATGAGGCCATAAAGAAAGAAGACTCCGGGGAATGTGGAATGCGGAAGAACTTCATCGGTGTCGTTGATGGACGATGAAAAAGCAGCAGCTCCCCTGGCGGCCAGAAAAAAAAGTTAAATAGCCTTTGTCTGTTAAATGTTGTTTGTCAAACTGGCATTGAATGTTTGCCATATATGTGTTTACTGTAATCCGCCCTGAGTCCCCTGCGGGGTGAGAAGGGCGGAATATAAGAACTGTAAATAAATAAATAAATAATATAAATATTTAGTACTTTGCATTTGTACTAATAATATTACAATATAATGGTATAGTACAATATAGACATATATTATAATGTAATATAATACAACTAATAATAATAATACAATATCCTAATTATATATATTATATTACATGTAATATTACTAATAGTATTACAATATAATGGTATAGTACAATCTATCTATATAAAATGCTCTGTGCATAATGAGTACCTTAAAAACAAAATAACCAATGAACGAAACCACACCAAATTTGGCAACAAAACGTCTCACAACACAAGGAGTGACCACCACTCCAAAAATTATGATGCTGTCATTTGGGAGTTGTAGTTGCTGGGATTTATAGTTCAACTACAATCAAAGAGCATTCTGAACTCCATCAATAAACGTTGATTGGCAAGCCTGCCATAATCCGGATTTTTCCAGTGCTGAGAGACAGGAACAATGAGGGAATTTTGGCTGTGGTTTCAGTGGATAAAAGTTGAATCAGTAACAGATTAGGACGAAGTGTGGCTTTCTGAAGGTTTCCTTTGTCCTATTGAGATATGATCATAAATGCCAAGTGACCGCTTCCTCTGGGGGGCCAAATTGACCAAGGCTTAACCCTTATTATCCAGTTTGGTGTCATTGTCCTTAGCAAAACTATAAGTTACTATCTTTTATTGCGGGGAGGTCATGTTCGACTTCAAGGGTATGCTTTGAATTCCGGCCACCAGGAGAGCTGTTGCTTCGCCATACACTTGTGACACTGATGGAGTACTTCCTCATTCTTTTGCACGTTGCTGTAGAGTTTTTTTATGGCACCTTAAATTAGTTAAATTAGCCTCCCCACATAAGCCTCCCCTACATTTCCTATTTGACAGATGCAACTGTCTTTCGGGCTGCAAAGGTCGACAGCAAGCTAAACAAATGGTCAGGAGCTTACTCCAACCCGGGCTGGCTTTGAACTCATGATCTTTCGGTCAGTAGTGATTTTTTTTAATGCAGCTGACTCCCAACCGGTTGTGCTACAACCCGGTATATATCAAGATTTAAAATATATATCATATATTAAATTATATAGATATAGATAGGTAGGATTTCAGATCATTTTTATATTTATAATCTTTCCTACATAAAGATATATGCTATGGGACTTTGAACTGCCTTTGATACTGAGAGCAAATTCCACTTTAACTGCCATGGCAACAACATCCAATCTCCAGAAATGCAAACACAAGCCAAGCAAAACCAAATTTGCTATGAAGTGACCTTACCATTGGATACTAAAGGTAGAATTGTCCATCGTACATTGTGTGCAGGACTGTGGATAGCAGCAAATCCCATTGAAGTGAAAGCCTTTTGGACCAAGAATATCATAAGTTGTATTGGAAGACCAAGGAAATGCCTAGAGAAGATGTATTGTATTGTAAGTAATGGTATTGTAAGTAATGGTAGAAGGATTATGAGAACGGAATCTGATTTTACTGAGGCGTTGATGACCACGTTGTTTTGTCTTGTATTGTCTGTCATGTATGTTGTGTTTTAATCTAATTGTTATTGTTAAATAAATTGCATTGTAAACCGCATTGAGTCGCCGATTTAGGCTGAAAAATGCGGTATAAAAATAAAGCAAATAAATAAATAAATAAATAATATTTTTGACAGACATGTTGTATTTCCAAATGCGATGTTTTGTTGGCGGCGGCTGGGCCGTGAAGACATCTGATGGAAAGACAATGAACGGATTCAAAATGTGTTGCTAAAGAAGAGTTTTGGTAGAAGTCAAAATAAAAATAATTGACCCCTCAAGTTGCAAGGAAACTCCCCGTGATCGCTTCATTCCAAAATGCCTCGAAGGCACACAAGAATCACTTGATATCGATAGACAAAAGTGCTCTTTCAAACTGTATTCCAGAGACATACCGCTGAGCAAAAGGTTTGTCCCCGTGGACAAAAAGATTTCTATTTCCAATTGGAAAAACAAACCTAAATGTCCAAAGGCAAGATGGGCAGCAACCAGAGGAATCCAATGTCAAAATATTCTGGGATGTTAGACCTTTAAAAAATCATTTCCCAAAAATCTGCTGTCCCAATTGCTGAAAAAGACATGATGCAAAGATGATTTTGTTTGGTATTTTCCCCCGAAGTGTGTTCGAACCTCTTGCATTGATCGTTTGAGGCTGAGAGGAACAAGACAGGCATTCACTCCAAGTCCGGCTCAAGTCAGGCATCGCTTGCTTTCCCATTGCTTCTCCAAAGCTCTCTGAACTCAAGACGCAGAGGAAGACGTTCCAAAAACGCCACCAAAAATGCCTTCTGCAGAGAACAATCCGCCTTCCTACCTTATACTTTCCATCATCAACCTTCTCTTTTGCTGTTTCCCCCTCGGATTTGCGGCCATCATCTACTCTTGCAAAGTGAGTCCATCTTTTTATTTCATTTTTCAATTGGAATTATTAACTGGAAAAAATAAATATGTCAGGCACATTGAACTGGATTATATGGCAGTGTGGACTCACATAACCCAGTTCAAATCAGATATTGTGGATTATCTGCTTGATACTCTGCGTTCTATGGCTTTTTTTTTTTTTTGGTCGTGTCAGGAGTGACTTTGAGAAACAGCAAGTTGCTTTTGGTGTCAGAGAATTGGCCGTCTGCAAGGACGTTGCCCAGGGGGGACGCCCGGATGATTTGATATTTTTATCATCCTTGTGGGAGGCTTCTCTCATGTCCCCACATGAGGAGCTGGAGCTGACAGAGGGAGCTCATTCGCCTCTCCCCGGATTCGAACCTGTGACCTGTCGGTCATCAGTCCTGCCGGCACAGGGGTTTAACCCACTGTGCCACCACTATGGCCTTGCAGCTTCAAAGCCTGGCTTCTTACTGCCTGGGGAAATCCTTTGTTAGGAGGTGATTAACTGTCCCTGATTATTTCTTGTCTTCAACAACACTCCCAACACTCCACCTCCTAGGTAGACTTGCTCACAGCAGTAGACTCCTGCAGTGGCAAGAGGATGCCTCTTATCCTTTGCTGCATGCAGCATTTGCTGAATTTTCACCCATACAGGGGATACCTCAAGGCAACAAAGGCCAGGCTGCGCCTATGCAGAGACCCTCACTGATTGACTTTGCATGACTACTCAATGTTATTCAAGCTTGCTAATTGCAACATTCACACTTGCTTTAAACAGGCAAGGTTTCTTTCTCCCACTCTGGACATCATTCCACAGAGGGTGCCTCCAGGCTAAAGAAGCCAGGCTACCTCTATGCAGATACCATCACTGATTGAGTTGGCAGCTTCATGGCTACTTACTGCTATTCAAGCTTGCTAATTGCAACATTCACCCTTACTTAAACAGGCAAGGGTTATTTCTCTTACTCTGGACATCATTCCACAGAGGGTGCCTCCAGGCAACAGAAGCCAGGCTACCTCTATTCAGATACCGTCACTGATTGACTTTGCAGCTTCATGGCTACTTAATGCTATTCAAGCTTGCTAATTGCAACATTCACACTTGCTTTAAACAGGCAAGGGTTCTTTCTCCCACTCTGGACATCATTCCACAGAGGGTGCCTCCAGGCAATAGGAGCCAGGCTACCTCTATGCAGATACCATCACTGATTGAGTTGGCAGCTTCATGGCTACTTAATCTATTCAAGCTTGCTAATTGCAACATTCACACTTGCTTTAAACAGGCAAGGATTCTTCCTCTCACCCTGGACATTATTCCACAGGTATTTATACACTCCACTTGCCTCACCACCAACAGAACCTCTAGCCACAGATGCAGGCGAAATGTCAGGAGAAAATGCTACTAGAACATAGCCAGACAGCCTGTTACAGGACTCATATCTGGCTTGTGTTCTTCTGACCCTGCCTTTCTTCCTTCCTTCAGGTGAACACGGCCAAGAGTGCAGGAGATGCAGACCTGGCTGCCAAATTGTCTCGCAAGGCCCGCCTGCTCAAT